ACACACATACACAGGGGTTTGGTGTCCTAGTTTCCATCTGTGGAGAAGCTATTCTCTCTTGCTCACTGTTCACTCCTTCACTCATAAACTCATTTTGTGGCTAGTTGGCCCACTACATCATCATGTGATGCATTGCTCCTGCTTTACAGATGTATGTACATTTATGCATCATTGCCCTTGTGCTTATATTTAACTGCATGGATGTTTTTTTTTTTTTTTTATGTGACGTATATGTTTGAATGTAAGCCTGTTCCTTAATGTGCTTGAGCGTGCCGTCTGTCAGGCTGCTCTGTTTCATTATCGCAGTGTGATCAAATACAACAATCAATGAGAGATTAAATGAGTCCTTAAAAAAGAACATCTCACAAGTCCAAATCCCCACTAGACTGCCGTTTGTTCAGCCACATCACAATCCTTTCAATAAGGGTAAACTATATTAGCTTTTCTTTGAGTTATATGCTCATCATGAGCATACAGATTTCCCTTGGATCAGAAAAAAAGATTTTCAAGTAAAGTACAACATTCAGTAAGACTCTTTGTGAATTTCTGGCATTCAAAAACCATAATAATAATTTTATTTGCATTAACTGCATGGATCATGTACCTGGCACCTTGTTGTTCACTTTTGTTTTTTAGCACCTTCTGCCTCAGTGTTCCTTAATTTACATCCCACCTTTTAAAGGTTGTGTTTTGCTCACACTTTCTACTTTGATGAAATTTGAATCACGGCAGCACTTTTTTAAAATCTGAATTAATTAAAAGCTGTATCAGTTACTCACTGTTTCTACTCTGCTTTTAATATCAACTGTTCCTTTTTTTCTTGTCCATCCATCAGTCTGATAAATATTGCTCCTTTGATTGAGCTGGTAACTGTCAGATTTAGGGCTGCTTAAATGTAGGAAAAATCTGATCAAGTTTATTTATATCAATACTGAAATTCATATTATTTTAACTGAGTAATAATGGAGATTTGAAAAAAAATTGCCCCTAAAGATGTGCATTTTCCTTCAATGTGTGATTCTAGTTAATAATACCATGACTTTGTGGGCAGGAGCCTAATCCTGAAGACAGAGGTAATCATTCTGTTATGGTACCTGCTTCAGGAATGGCTAAACACAATACATGCAGTAGTTGTTTGCAGACTCCTTGAATGCAGCTTTGTGGAGGCATTTAAATCTCTGACTCTATTAATCTCCCCTACTACTTCAACGGGATTATCTTTCCAACCCTGTCAAGTCTGTGTCTTTTGTTGTTGCTTTAGAAACATTTAATACTACACTTTTTCCTTCCACTTAATTTTCTCCCGATAGAATGGAACAAAACATTATTCATCCACAATGGGAATTCCATTGTTCAAGCTTTTAACAACATACATTTCACACTTGTAGACATCCAAAACATGACCGACATCACAAAGAATAATACAAACAGAACTATTTATAATATAATATCAGTTAAATGCAAGTCTAATTTAGTGTTCCTACAATGTTAAATCTGGTCTCTTCTGTTTAATAGGGAAATCTATACCTTTATTAAAGAAAGCAAACCTTCTACCTTAATCTGCTGCATTTTTTTTTTTTTTTACAAAAACCTAAATAAACCTAAATCTTCAGAATGTCCTTCATTTAAATTCCTTAAATGTTTACTGTTTATTTACCTAAACTAAATAGTATTTTTGTTATATAAAGGTATACGCAAGCAAAAATTTTAATCAGGCATGCCCAAAGTTGGTCCTCAAGGGTTGCCATCCTGCGGGTTTTAGAGTTCATCCTGTACTGCTTCACTGTCCATGCTAACTTATCTTGATAACACAACAGGATGTGTTTTAGGTAATGATTACATGTAGCATTGGATGCTAAAACTAAAGAGGACAGATTCTCAACTATACAAGTTTTTAAATTTCTAAGGGATGATATATTGCAGCTTTTGCTAAGCTTAAACAATTTTGACGCCGTATTGGATTAGGAGACATGATTTTTGGAGTCTTAAACCTTTTTTCAATTTAATATTTTTTTGTTTGTCTTCAGTTGATAATTCTGTTTATGCTTCAGATTTGAGAATCAGTGTCAAGCGATCTTCAGGTGGATTCTTTTGTTCTTAGAAATTACTAAGGAAGTGGGAGGAATAATACAATTCTAGATTTTAAGCTGTGATGTGGAGATTTGTATGACTAAACCCAAATGTCTTTCTGTAGACTCATGTGGAGGCTGACCCTTGTTTCAACTAATTGTAATAAACAGGATTAAAATTATATATAAATATAATGAACTCAGTTACCTAATGTGAAGGATAAACTGACGACTGACTTCCTGTTTTTTTTTTTAGAAAAATAAGGAAAAGCCCAACTTCATTCAGTCCAATGAACCCTTCCAATCATCCTGATCCTCCTGTGAGAACTACCAGCTTTCCATAATAATTAATTAATAACCTCAATATTTTTGGCATATATAACAAATAAATGAACGTATCTGGTTAAAGGCTCAGGAACCCTGAAACATAATCATGTTACATAAATTATAGCTATGTTGGGTTTCAGGTTTGCACTTGGAGTGTGGGTCACATTTACATAAATGTTAATGCCTTCGTCTATAATATTTCACAAGGTTGGAGAAAAAAGCAGATGGTGATCTGTTTAGATCATCTAGAAGTTGGTTCATAGCATGCTATTGTCTTTAAACTTAGATCAGACCAACAGTTTTTATATCTTTTCCATTTTGAGGAGTGAAGAAAATTCGGTCTTATGTTGAATGGTTTTAAAACCATGATTAATCTGTTGCATGTATATTAAAAAGACTGGGGGAGGTGTACTGATAATTCTGCTACCAAGGACTATATTTAAGTTGAGATTGAAGTTAAGATTTTTTTGAAAAAAATTAAAACATCTAAATTAGAGGCTTGAATTTTCCTCTTTTCCAAAGGAGATTTACTGCAATAAAGAGTTGATAACTTTCAAAAGGATATTTGCACTTTATTCTCAGAAGTAGCTATTTAAGCTTAAAAACAAAAAGATTACACAGCAAAATGTGGCTGATGTTCCAGATTTTTAGGATTTATTAAAAATATGTTCTTATGCTCTCTTATAAAATCAAAGCAGAAGTGAAGAAGCTCTGGTTAGTTCCTTCAGTATCTGTAGACTGGCTCTGCTCTGGCTGCTGTCCACCTTGTTTGTCCGGCTGCAGAAAAATCACAGATTGGTAGATGCTTTTACCGAAGCCATAACGTCCCACATGAGGTGGTGTTTTGCTTTCTTTGTTGACTGTGTGTGTGTATGCACATGTTTTCACTCTCTCTCCCTGGTGGTGCTGGGGTGTTTGGCAGGATAAATATAGCTGCGTTGGTGTAAAGCTGTTTTCTCCTCGGCTTTTGTAGCTTTAATCAAAAGCAATTTGGAGGAGGGAGAAATGGAAGGGGAAAGCAGGGGTTAGAAAAGGTGCAGAAAGAGGAGAGATGGTAAGAGGAGGAGATGGGGGTGACTGATGGCAGAGTATTTTATTTTAGCTCTCTTTAAAGAGTCATCGGGGAGTGTTCAGGTGTAATGAGAACCCTGGTGGCTGCAGGAGTGGGACTGAATCTACTGTCCTCTGGCTCAGCTTCTCCATCCTCTCATTGTGTCTTTCTCACTTCCTCAGTCTATCCCAACTTCCCCAATCTGACTCTCAATGTTCACCAGATCACTGAGGCTCACTTTGACTATTTTAGAGTGTGGCCAGATTCTCCAATGTGATATTCTTTGACATTGTTGGGGATATAGGCAAGGGGTTACATGGCAAATCTGGAAATGCACTATCCTTCCCTAAAAACAATAAAATAAATAAAAATCATAGTGTAAGTCATGCATTTACGTATACATTTATTATATGGTTTTAAGACCTGATAATAAAAAAAAAAACCTTCTTTACAAGATCATATCTACCTAAAAGTGTAGAAGAACACACCTGATTTCATTTGGATAACTTTGAGAAAACTCATTAAAACAAAATTATTTTCTAAAATACTATTAAAAACCATTTGCTGCTAAGATAGTATTTGTTAGTGTTATCTAAACTTTATCTTAATATGTTTAGGATGCATCTTGTAAAGGAAAGATATAAAAAAAAATTTTTGGCTTTGCAGAACAAAAGTCCTGTTTTTTTTCCCAACAAGCCAGTATTACCTGGGTATTTACATGGGCCCCAGCCTTTACTTGGAATCGTGCCAGACATGCTTGTAACTATCCTGTGGTTAAAAAAAGAAAATAAAATAAATAACACTTAGGTTTGCAAAACTGCATGTGAATGAACCCTGAAAGACTCGATACATTAAACACATTAAGAACTGTTTGCAAGGCAAAGTATTCAGTTTGCTAAAGAACGAAAGATGAAACCTTAAACCAGTTGTAGATCATGTTGGTGGAAAGGTGATGATTTTGGCCTCTTTGCTAGTAACAGAACCTGGCTACCTTGCACTGATTGAACTGACTATTAAATCCTCCTTCTGCTAAAGTATTCTGGAGCCAATTGTGTGTCCTCTTGTCCAACAGTGGATGGTTGGTCTAAACTTAGTTATTTACAGAACCCAGACACATTTTTACAATCTCTGAAGTTGTCCAGAAACAACTTTACAATCTAACATTCTCCAACAGTAAATGATTTCTGAGACATATTGCTGCTAAAGCTTCTCTGCATGCTGCTGTTAAATTGTCAGGTGGACTAAGTTTTTCATGTGCAGCTCTTCCATTTTGGCCTTATCTTGTTGTGATGAACAATTGGGTTTAGTGAATGTGGAGCCCTTGAACTGAAAAATGTTTTTATTTAAATTTTTTTTTTAACCATGCCTGAAAATAGAGCAGTAATAGTTTGAATACCCACCAAATGTTTCATCACGAGATAAAAGTGAATTTGGACTCTCCTCTGCAGTCTGCAGCCAGTGTACAGTTGGTGTACATATGTGCGATAACAGAATTAGAAGGAGAACTGGAGATGTTATTTTGACAGTAATCCTAGTGTCCTTTAATTTAACAGTTGGCTCTCTGTTCTTCATTTGGTGGCCAAAGGCAGCCCACAGTGGGAGAATCAAGCTGCTCCCTGGTATGTTTGCCATCCTTTATCTTAAAAAGCTTCCATAAAAGCCTTTATTTTTTCCCCTAAATGGCTTACTGCACAAGTGCAGCTCTTTAGGAAGAACACTGTTCCATTTCCTGTTTGACAGCAGTGGGCGCTTGGCTTCAAATGAGATTGTGGCAAACTGTCATTTTGCTTTCAGTTGTTGCAGTGAAACATATTTCCATAACACCTTTTCATCCCAAGCTATCTGTAAGGGGATGTGTTTTATTTCATTATCATATATGTTCTGGTTGCATGATGGCTGATGGAGGCATTCTGTGTTCTCTAGGTGATATGGGTGTGCAATAACTGCAGAAAGCAGCAGGAGATCCTCACCAAGCCAGGAGAGTGGTTCACTGGTCCTCCCGGGAAGGCCTCTAGTCTCGGTTCTGCTGTCAGTGAGCCGTCTGTGTGCCAAGTGTCCGGAGATAAGCTGAGATCTCACTCCCAAGCACCCACAGGCTCCACTGGGACTATCCAAGACCAAGCAGGTGTACTGGGGACCACCCCTGGTACAGATGCTCGGTCGCTAAGTGAGCCACCACGGGACAGGTAAGATGGAGGGACAAAAGCACGAAATACATGTATGCCACTCAGATAGAAATCACATATGTTCTGTGGTTTCAGTTTCTGAAACTGGATCTGATGAAGAAGTTGTTTTAGCGACCACTTTGTTTTTATACGATTGTTTCCGTTGTTTACTACAAAACGCATAATGTGAATCTGCCATCCGGACATCCTTGCATCCTTCAGAACATAAAACCCTTCAGATGTCTGTAGAAAAAGCTTTTCAAACTTCACATCTAAGGAAAATTAGACTGTAGAAGGTCTGGATCTAGAGGAAAAATATTTCTCCAGTCCGTCAGGTATTTTTTTAGTTACTCAGTTACTTAAAAGCTAGATTATTCAAAAAAGGTTTTACTGAGATTATGCTCATAAAGTGAAATAAATTTTCCCAGATATGCTGTGAAGATTGTACTGTGCATCCCACAAATAAAGGGTTTCCTTTTTTGTGTCATGATTTTTCTAAGGTTCAGACCCAAATGCAGAAGACCAAACAGGGAGACAAGGGAAAAGGTTTAACAGGTTTTATTGAAGAGATAATTCAGAGAGAATTGTTGCTCTGAACACTGCTCAACCAGAACTGAAAAGTGAGGGGAAGACACAGCGGTTAGTTCAGGCTCAGTGGGAAATTTGACATGTGAACTTGAAGAAGAGGATTTGGTTGCTGACTCACGTTTCCAGAGAAGTTGTTGAATCCTTGACTCCAGTCTGTATGCTGTACACTCACCGGCCACTTTATTAGGTACCCCATGCTAGTAACGGGTTGGACCCCCTTTTGCCTCCATAACTGCCTCAATTCTTGGTGGCATAGATCCAACAAGGTGCTGGAAGCATTCCTCAGGGAGTTTGGTCCATATTGACATGATGGCATCACACAGTTGCCGCAGATTTGTCGGCTGCACATCCATGATGCGAATCTCCCGTTCCACCACATCATAAAGATGCTCTATTGGATTGAGATCTGGTGACTGTGGAGGCCATTTGAGTACAGTGAACTCATTGTCATGTTCAAGAAACCAGTCTGAGATGATTCCAGCTTTATGACACGGCACATTATCCTGCTGAAAGTAGCCATCAGAAGTTAGGTACATTATGGTCAAAAAGGGATGGACATGGTCAGCAACAATACTCAGGTAGGCTGTGGCGTTGCAACGATGCTCAATTAGTACCAAGGGGCCCAAAGAGTGCCAAGAAAATATTCCCCACACCATGACACCACCACCACCAGCCTGAACCGTTGATATAAGGCAGGATGGATCCATGCTTTCATGGTGTAGACGCCAAATTCTGACCCTACCATCTGAATGTCGCAGCAGAAATCGAGACTCATCAGACCAGGCAACGTTTTTCCAATCTTCTATTGTCCAATTTCGATGAGCTTGTGCAAATTGTAGCCTCAGTTTCCTGTTCTTAGCTGAAAGGAGTGGCACCCGGTGTGGTCTTCTGCTGCTGTAGCCCATCTGCCTCAAAGTTCGACGTACTGTGCGTTCAGAGATGCTCTTCTGCCCACCTTGGTTGTAACGGGTGGTTATTTGAGTCACTGTTGCCCTTCTATCAGCTCGAACCAGTCTGGCCATTCTCCTCTGACCTCTGGCATCAACAAGGCATTTCCGCCCACAGAACTGCCGCTCACTGGATGTTTTTCTTTTTCGGACCATTCTCTGTAAACCCTAGAGATGGTTGTGCGTGAAAATCCCAGTAGATCAGCAGTTTCTGAAATACTCAGACCAGCCCTTCTGGCACCAACAATCATGCCACGTTCAAAGTCACTCAAATCTCCTTTCTTCCCCATACTGATGCTCGGTTTGAACTGCAGGAGATTGTCTTGACCATGTCTACATGCCTAAATGCGCTGAGTTGCCGCCATGTGATTGGCTGCTTAGAAATTAAGTGTTAACGAGCAGTTGGACAGGTGTACCTAATAAAGTGGCCGGTGAGTGTAGATCCAGTGTTTGTCTGATTTGGTGGAGGGCGGAACAGGGTTTACCCAGAATGTGGTTGTTATAGGTGAACGGAGAAACTGACTGGCTCTCAGATATTCTGTGGTACTTGAACAGGTCGTAGTGGAGATAAATCCCTTTCTCAGTGTGAAGCTCAAACGATCTCTTGGGGAAAGTGGATCCAAACCTTCTGTTTGAACCCCAGCTCAGTTTGTAGCTCAGTTCATCCCTCCAGGGAGAGAAGGTCCGAAAAATCCAGTTTGCAGGATGACGTCCTGCTGAGAGGCAAAGACAAAAAAACAAAGTTAAAACTCGGGTTGACTAGAACTCAGTTTGACTCAGCAAAACTCAGCTTGGCTAGAGTACCCAAAACTGGCAAACACTCTGGTGTCAAGGCAGTGTCAGTGAGCAGCTTAAGAACACTCTGTTAACGAGGAAACCATCAGCAGGTGTGTGAGGAGGCTGACAAACACAGAAACACAAACACAAAGACAGGAGTCCTGACATTTTGAGCAGTTGGACAATATTTGAGACTTTATGCTAAATACATATATGTTACATCTGTTCACTGAGTGCTTTGATATATTCATTTTTTCGGGGTTAAATAAACAAGTTAAAAGTCTTAAGAGGTAACACAGGTATTAGGCATTTCTGATGGTTGCTAATAATATGCTGCTTTGCAATATTAAAGTGGCATTCAAGGTAAGCATCTCTATATAAGGCTGTATTTGACTGTATTTTTTTGGATTGATAATAAATTCTACTTGCTCCTCAGGAGAAATGGTCGTGGAGGCGGTGGAACAGGTCGGGGGGAGCGGCGGACAGGCCAGCCTAGGCTGCAAACCCAGGTCTCCATGGATCGAGACCTACGAGGAGAGTCGAGGGAGCGAAGGGAAGGCCGGCTGTTGAAGGGACGGTCTCTGGAGCATGATCCTTTGGGGGGTGGTGTTGGTGTAAGAAGGACAGAGGATGGCGGTTATCAGCAGGTGGGCAACAATGCAGGTCCCCTTCGACAAGCAGAGCCATTTTCATCAGGAGGCAGGGGGCTGCCTGGGCAGGGTCGTGGCACAGGCAGTGGGACACGAGAGTTTGGGGACGCTACTCGACTTGGACAGAGGACGGTGGGCGGGGCACAGGATGTTTCACAGAAAGCACCTCCTGAACTCAGAGTACCTTCAGCTTTGGGACCTGAAACGGGTCTTGGCCAGGGTGCTGGGGTGAAACGGACCAAACGGGACAAGGCTGAAAGCATGCTGCGAAACGATTCGCTAAGCTCTGACCAGTCTGAATCATTGCGGCCTCCTCCACCACGGCCCCACAAATCAAAACGGGGGCTGGGGGCTGGAGGGAAGAGACAAACCAGTGTCAGCAGTTCAGAGGAAGACGGTGGAACTACGCCTGAGTACAGTAGCTGTGAAGATGCTGAAATTGAGAGCATAAGTGAAAGGGGTAAGTTGTTCTAGTTTATTTAAACATTATAAGTTTCTTAAATCTGTTTAGTCTCCATTTTTATAGCTGTTAAATCTGATATCTGCGGCACATTTTCATCTTTCCTTATTTTTTTGATCAAATAGAAATGCAATTCTTTCCCACAGTATCAAAGCCTTCTTATATTGCCTGTCTGTTGTACTATATATCACAACTGTATTCCCACCTTTTAGGTTTTTTTTTAATTTTCTATACATACAAATTATCCAGACACTCACTGAAGTCTTTCAATCTGGTATTGGTGGTTATGATCCTACTTTATGGTACATGTTTAAACCATTGCACCTCTAAATCTAACATACTGGCTTGGACTGGGAACGATTTTCGGCCCTGGCGTTTTTCCATCTACACCAGCCCACTTATAAATATAAGAAGAACATTGTAGTTTGGTTTAAAGAAAGCATTTTAGTTTATTATAATTTAGTTTGTTGCAACAATTTTACAGTTTGAAGAAATAGGATTTTACAGTTTGAAGAAATAGAAAATTACACCATATGCAAACCGTCACAAGGATTAGCAGGACAAGGAGGAGCTGTATATACTGCTTGCATCATTTAGATAGTTAACATTGTGTTACTTCTTGAGCTCCTAAAGTAATTTACTGTCACAGGTGCTTCGGCCAGAGAGTAAGGGTTGGGGTCGGTAAGATTTAAGGAGGACCGGCCCTCGCACGCTGAAATTGAGACCGGCCCACCGGCCCACCATTCTCCCTGTTTTGATAGTAGATACTCTTTCTGGGTTTCACCCTGAAGAACTATGTAGTACAGGCTATCAGAAGAATCTAGTTGTGAACCAGCATAACAAAAACAGATAGATACAAATTGTTACAGGTGTCAGGGAGGGAAGCAGAGACAGGGAGTCTCTGCTTCCGTCTCCTTGAACCCCAGTCGGCCTCGGCAGATGGCCGCTTACACTGAGCCTGGTTCTGCTGGAGGTTTCTTCCTGTTAAAAGGGAGTTTTTCCTCTCCACTGTCGCTACAAGCATGCTTAGTGTGAGGGATTGTATTTGAGTCAATGAGTCGATGCAATCAACTGGTTTTCCTTAGATAGAAAACTTTGTATCAATTTGACTGTATGATCTGGTTGAACTGTAAAGTGCCTTGAGATGACATGTGTTGTGAATTTGGCGCTATATAAATAAACTGAATTGAATTGAATTGAGCATAATGGCAAAGTAACTTAGTATTGATGGTCATGACCAAAACAACAATATAAAACAGACATGTGCAATTGCTCTCAAATTCACGGTCCAAATTGCAGAAGAGAAACCCTGCATCCCCCCTAAAGTTCAACAGGAAGTTTTAATTGAGAATTAAACATTCACTGATTCTAGGCTTGCAATAAACATAGGATGAAGTTTTTGTATTTTTCTTATGTTTTTACAAAAGTCAGCTCCAAATTCCAGTTAGGCTTAGAAAGATAGAAAAATAATTATAATACATCTATATTATGAATCACTGTAAGTCAATTCAGTTCAATTCAATTCAGTTTATTTATATAGCGCCAATTCACAACACATGCCATGTCAAGTCAGCTTTCTATAGGAAAGCAATAAGATTATAAATATAAATAATTATAAATAATATAAATTGTACATTTTAAATACGTTAATTTTGTTGTTTTATTTTATTTTTTATGAGATTATACTTTTTTTTCCACAAATTTTCTGATTCTGTGTTGGATATTGCAGCATTGTCAAAAAAATGTCTTACTCTGTGTGTGGTTGTTATTCTAGAAAGTGTACATCAGTCCATAAAGCATTTTCTAATTATTCGATTGTCAGTTCAAACTGTAATCAACAACAGTTATTCTGATCTCAGTGCTCATCTCTATTCTGATGTGCAGTGCGGGACCAGTCTAACATTATGTGCAGTTTGCCTGCAGCGGAGGCTGTTCGTCCTTTATAAATCCCAGGGTTGACCCACACTGTACATTGAAGCTTTAGAAGCATCTCTAACCCTTGCTTGGTTTGAGCGGGTTCATGTTACTTTACTGCCAACTGCTTCCCTATAGATGCACAGTGCAAATTTGATCAAAACTACAATTCCCAGAATGCACCAAAATGGTTGATGCACTGTTGCAGGGCAGCTGTCACCGAAGAGTATGATTTTGTGTGTCCAGAAACAATAATAGCCAGACCGTGTGGAGGAATTGCTGCAATGTCGGGAATTGCATGAGACCATCTAATAGTTCCACTTTTGGATAGCTAAAGTTTGAGATTAAAATATACTGCTGCAGCTAATTGTTTTTAGTGCTGGTAGGATAAATAATTGAACCTTAGAGCTAACCTACAGACATAAACATGCTTAGGAGTAGTAGGTTTTTTACGCAAGACTTGGTAGGTATGGATAGGTATTTTCCCTCAAATAAATCTGTATTTATGTTCCTCCTGGTTTAAACATTTTTGATTTGCAATATCCAGCCCCTCCCTTACTGATTTTATTTATAAAGTGAAATCCATTAAAGGTGCAGCTCTAAGTAGCAGATGGGGTGAAATGAATGTTTAGGGTGAGAGTCTCTTCAGACCGAGTTTTAAACAGGCCCCTGTGGCTGTGTGTGGCTGTTGCCTTTTTTAGCTCCACACTGAGATCAGGGTCAGAGGCGTATCGTAGGTGCTGGCAGAAGCGAGGCACCCAGCCATTCAAATGACTGAGATCACTACAATAAAACACTGTTTGTTTTTATATTTTCCTTCTTAAAAAGGTGCTTGTATATTCCTGCATAGAAACACACAGACATGGACGACTGATCCTCTAAAACAGCAGGGAGGGAGAGGTCAAACACTTAATACACATGGCATTTGACTGCATCTTTTAACTTTTCTTCAGTGTTAAAAGCTCTTATGTTAGATTAGCAATGCAAACCATTTTTACATTTTTTGAGGGGTTTATTCTAGGGCTGCAAGTAACGTTTATTTTGAAATTTGATTAATCTGTTGATTTTCTTTTTTTTGATAAATCGATTAATAACCAGACAGCTTGCTGGTTTCTTAAAGAAGACTATTTACATATTTAAACCAGGTGAAACTAAAAGCTTTTTACTTGAGAAATTCTGGATAGAACATTTTAACAGACAAAATTTTATTTTTTTATCTTAAAGGCAAAATGTTTATCCATATATAAATATATAATTTTAATTTTTTTATATAATTACTGCTCTAAGCGGGTTGCTCTGCCTTTTAAAATCTCTATTGTCCAGTTAAGGATTATTCGATTACTGAATTAGTTGAAGATTATTTCAATAAGCGATTAATCTGATTGTTTCAGCCCTAGTTTATTCTTTCATTCTTTTTTTTTTTATAAAAACAATGATTAAGTCCTGTATCATTATTTTGATCAAGTAAGTTTTATTTTCTATTTACTTGAAAAATAATGTTGTAGTTGCTTCAGCACTAAACTAAGATTTATTCTAACAGAATAATCCTGCATTGTTCTTGTTTTTCAGTCTTGATTAAAATATTAATTTGATATATTGACTTATTTTTCTTTCATAATACCATATTTGGACACAGAAACATGCGTCCTCTAAGAATCCCACCTCTGGGTTACATTTATATCTAAGTTATAACATCAAGGCCTGTTTGGTCCATAAGCAGGGGCGTTATCATTAATACTACATAATTGGCCTGTATTTATCAGAGCTTATTAGTACTTTTTCATTCAAAGTTGCATCACATGTACACTGCAGCGTTGTAGCTCACTGAAAAAAGCAAAGCTGCCGTACACCTCTGACCACCAGAAGTAGGCAAAGTGGGAGAAGTGTCTTGTCCAATGACACAACGACATTTTAAGTTGGAGACTTGAACCGACAACCCTTCGATTAAAGAGCAAACTCCTGCATCCGATGCCACTTTCGCCCATACAACACTACTAAAGGTGGTCACAGCTTGTTAGCTTCACAGCTTCCCTGCTGCTGGGAACACCTGGCTTCGTTTTCCTCCATGTCATAACAGTGTTCCTGAAGTTTTGCAAACATTGCACTTTTTTAAGCGTTCCTACTTTACATATACAACAGCTTTCTCCACAACATTTAATCTGTAAAGTATCTGGGGAGGGATTAAATTTCCTTTCCACCTCTGCGAATCAGACAGAGTCCTGCTGCTTTGTTGATATATTTTTAATCCTAACCCAGACCTGAATGTTCAGTAAACCCAACCCTCTGTGTCAGCATAGGCCTTGGGAAGGAGCTGCAAGTTTGAGCTGTATGTGAAAGAAAGTTCGCTTGTATGGTCTCCACCGCTATGTCTCCATTATGTGAAATGATCTCTATTCTGTTGCAGGAGACTGGGAGTGCAATCCACATGACCCCACAGGATGGCATGTAAGTCAGTGTTTTTTTAATTCTATTATTATTTATTTATTCATTTATTTATTTTACATCAGTACAGTGCTGTTAAAGGTTTATATTTAAGTCAATTAAAGGGTTAGAGTCATATCAGTGTCCCTGTAGATCTACAGGTTTGATAACTCATTATGGGTATTAATTTATTCAAATGTGTTACACCATCTGCTCTCCTAAAAGCAAAGAGCAACTGACACTTGGACATCCTCTTAGGGTCATTATTATGCCTAATTACAGTAGTGTGTATTTACACCTCAATATTTTTTAAATGTTCTCCTTTAGTTTTCTCGGTAAATATTTGACTCCTATTCTTGGCAATGTTGTTTATTCTAATCTCATGCTTTCCTTCCAGCCCTGACCTTTACTGACCTGAGGATTTAGGCTTTTGGGGCTTAAAAAAACAGTGTTAAAGGTTGTCAGAGTTTCTGCATTTGAAAACCAGTTTTCTTGTACATTTGCATTCTTTTTTATGTTGTTCCTATATTTATACCAACCTTCTTCAACTCACAGTGAGGAGTAATGTAAGGAAGTTATTTTAAGGTAGTCCTCCTTCATTCATTGATTCACCTACTTCAATGAACAGTTACCACTTGCAAAAATACACCCCAGAGCAGCATTCTGCCACTCCCATGTTTGAAAGATTGACCTGTGTGCATACTTCAGTTTAAAGGTCATTCTTTAACTCCTCCGTCATACTTCTTGAAACGCTTCTACAGAAGATATTTAAATCATAGGCTTTCTTCTGTGGCCTCCCCATCTATGGAGATCTGCATCTCCCCTCATGATAGACAGCTGATCCAAAAGATTGGCCAGAAACCTATACATATTTTTATCTCTAACGTAAAAGTTATGATCACAATTTTCTCATTTTCTGCACCCACTTGAATCTACTCCTGTAAAGGAAAGCTTCTTCAAAAATCCTCCAGTTCATTGTAATACCTGGTGCCCTTTGGTGTTTAATTTATACTTGGTATAACTGTTTGTAGTGCTTAATATTAGAATTTGCAGCTTTATAAAAATTGGGACAAAAGTCCTTCCATACTGGTTTGAACATATATTTTTTTTAACAGATCTTAAAAGAGTTTCTTAATGGGACAAGTGCCTAGAAATCATTAATTGCTTTTCCAAGGAGAAATCTAGTGGTTAGAAGTAAATATTCCTTGGCCCTGACAGGTTTAGACATAGTTTGTCCGATTGGGAGCAGGTACGGACAGAGGAATCTAGAAGGGAGCTAGGGGAAAGGGGTCTGACTCAAGGGGGCAATAGAGGGCAAACAAGAAATAAATTGGAACTCAAATGCATCCAGAAAACACCACAAAATGGGAATTAAAACCAAAGCTAGAAAACATAGAAAAACTTTAATCAAAGTGAAACTGAAAACTCAAAAAGCAAACTTAAGCAGAACCAAAAAGTGCAGAATCTTTCCTCTGAGGTGCACTATGGCCATCTCTCCATCCCCCCTGCTCTGTCCCTCTGCAGCATCCTGTAACCTGGCAGCCATCCAAGGAGGGAGACCATCTGATTGGACGAATCACCCTCAGCAAGAGAACTGCTACCATGCCTAAAGAGGCTGGGGCTTTGCTCGGGTTAAAGGTAAGAGGCAGTCTGTTTAACATGTGGTTGGGAGCTCTGTCTTTGAATTACAGCTTCTTGGTGTGCGTTTTCTCCTTCAGGTGGTCGGAGGGAGAGTAACCGAGTCAGGGAGATTAGGTGCCTTCATCACCAAAGTCAAGAAGGGTAGCCTGGCTGACGTGGTGGGACATCTCCGAGCAGGTAGAGACCAAATGTTATGATCTCATAAAACATGTTGTTTAATCTCCTGATTTCTCTACACACACATACACAGTCGGTGATCCTGCCTGAAACAAATTCATTTAGACTATAGCTGTGTTGAACAATCCCGTTTGTATTGGCACCTGGTTTTAGGGGATGAGGTTTTACAGTGGAACGGGAAGCTGTTGCCAGGGGCAACCATGAAGGAAGTATATAACATCATCCTGGAGTCTCAAGCCGAACCTCAGGTGCAGCTGATTGTGTCCAGGCCTATTGGGTAAGTCATGACACACACTCAAAGCAAATGATTTTACATTTTAGAAAAGGTAGAAAATTATTCATAGTTATTTTCTGTGCAGTCAAGGTGAGAAATGTTGGTATGACAATTATTTAGAGGTTTCTAGTACAGTAAAACTTTTTTCATCAAGATTCAAACGTTTTTGTTTTTATCAAAACCTATACCATTTTCAGAGTGCATCTTTAGTGTTTTTAGGTTTTTTACATTTTCAATTCTGCGAACCGCCTTGATTTTTTTGATATTACCAAGTCCTGTCTTTTGGTGGACATTCTTTGTCAAGTTTCTATTTTGAGAAGCACATTAGTTTTCCTCCAGTTTATCCACCTCAATTTTGTGAATTCTGAAGAATTTTGGACAGATGCTCATTTCAATGTTCAAATCTTTGAGCAATTGATTACTCTGACTTTAGCCTGGTGACCTGGTACACCATCTCCTTTGAGAACCTCTGAATCATCACCACCTTTCCTGGATTGTAAGAACGGTTCTGATGAAGGACATTTGAGTCCCTTTCTCTTTGCTGGGCAGTAATGAGCATCATTTAATAGTAAGCTGCTTTCTTGGCTTCCCCAGTTGGCCTCAGCAGATGGCCGCTCACACTGAGCCTGGTTCTGCTGTATTTTTCCTTCTGTTAAAAGGGAGTTTTTCCTCTCCACTATCGCTAAACGCATGTTTTGTATGAGGGATTGAATCAGTCTGACTGTATGATCTGTTTGGATTGTCTCTGAATAGTGCCTTGAGATTACATGTGTTTGGAATTGGCACTATATAAATAAACTGAATCGAATTGGCTAAAAAGAACCGCCCACACAGGACTACCAGTGGCTTTCATTTTACTTTAGGTATTCTCAACAGTCATAGAGGGATTATTCTGAGAAAACAGGTCTTTGGCTTTCCAACCTTCTACTATTAAATGAGCCATTTGAATAAGTGATGATTCATATCGTAAAAATAAGAAAAGTCCAGTTGTCCTTCTCTAAACTGGTACAATGTCCTGTCCATGGTTAGAATCAATACCAGCCTATCAATTTACTTCCTGACCAATTTCCACTAGTTTCTTAAGATTTTTCATGACTAAATTGGTTTATTCCCTGTTCTTGTAAAAGCCCGGTTATTCTATATATAATGTTTTTTTTTCTGACATAACAGATAAGTCAGATTTAACCTACTACACACTAGCAAAAGAAAAATAATTGAAGTTCTGAATCTAATACTTTCTTTCCAAACACTCACGAAGGGTTTATAGAAAATATCAGTAAGTAATTCCGTTTTGTTTCATTTTTCTTTTTTTAAGCTTTAATCCTGTCACTGAATCTATTTTGGCTACAGGTGCCATTTTGTATCTCCTGGTGAGGGGCTCTGATTATTTAGCATTGATCAAATTTCAATCCTTTTGTCAGAATTGCTGTTTGCAGTTATTTTTTTATTAATTATTTATTTTTCAAAAATGTCCCTAAGTTCACTTCATGAGATCCAAAATGGCCACTGGGAAACATTCATCATTTTAGCCACGCTTTTGCAAGAGATCAAGTTGCCTGTGCAGAAAATTCAAATCCTGCACCTCCAACATTTCTGTGACTGGTGAGCTCTGCTGGAACATTGGGAGTCATAAAGCAAGCTATTCATTATATTTTCATTTTGAAATTAGCTCAGAGGCAACCAATACTTCATGAAACACTTATCAGTTTGTTTGATTTTTACCCAGAAAACAAATTTAGTGGAATTTGTGTCTGTTGTTAAACATACTGTTTCATTAATGCATATGTGATAGGGCGCTAAATTTGTTACAGGTTAGATTTTTCTGGGTGCTGAGTGTGCTTACTGTACATATACATAATATTTTGTTATCTTTTCTTTAATTTCTTTAAGTTTGTCTATTTATACATATTGTCTGTACGGTACAAGTGTATGAAACTGCAGTTACATTTCTGGTTTATGTACACAATCTTGGCCAATCAAACCAACTCTGATCATCATATCTTTCATCTGCTAAGTAGAAATAAAAACAGATCTAATTTTGATTTATTTACGTTTCATATGCTCACTGTTTTTATGTGTCCTGCCTCTACAAAATAAAATTCTTCTCTAAATGTGGGTCACATTTAAAAACATATCATGAGGTTATGTTGAGGTTTTGAGGACCCAAATGCAGAGGTGGGGAGGCAGATGAGGGGAGTTCTTGTAGTTTTAATGGAGTATTCACAAGCAACTGAGGTAGGAATCCAAATATCCAACATAAAGAGTATAAAAAGAAAAACAGAACCTTGGAGACATCAGAGAAAAACAACCTTGAAGAGCCAAGAAAAGACAGGGAAAGATGAGGAACCGGCACTGAGGAACTGCACAGGGAGAGTATTTATGGGAGACTGAACAAAGACAGGACAAATTAGCTAATTGGGAGCAGGTGTGAACAGAGGCTTCTAGAAGGAGCTAGGAAAAAGGAGACCAAGGAGACCAAAAAAGACCTAAGAACTCAAATATATCCAGAAAACACCAATAAAGTTAGAAAGCAAAGAAAAACAAGGATCAATGTGAAACCAAAAATTCTGAGAAAACTTAACAAGACCAAGACCGTGACAGGTTGAAGTTATCAAATTATTAGACCTCACTTGAACATACTTTTTGAAACATTTTCTTCCTGATGGTGACTGAAGTGAGGCACAATATAACAGATTTTAGACTAGATAGAAAACTCTTTTATCAGCAGAAAAAAGCATTGTGCCAGTGGTGCTTTACAGCAGTCACAGAAAGACTCAGCTTAAAGTCCCAAACGGCTGGTTCAATTGATGCTGGAAAAGAGCATAAAATGTTGTAAAAAAGGGAATGTTTATGATATTGAATCCATAGGCACTTTACCGCAGGACCAAAATGCCAACTTTTTACAGTAAACAACAAAAGTAAACAGTGGAAGTAGAATAATTCCGAATTAAAAAAAAAAATACTTTTTCTTAATTTTTTTTTTCTTGAAACTTGGGGCAATTAAAAGTTTTCATTCTTTCTCTAATAACAATCTTATTTTCATAAAGCCCCTAACAGCTGTTTGTGGAGATGTTTGAACTCTGTCCTTTGTTTACTTGACTGACAGTGAAAAGCAAAAAAAAAAGTTTGAAAATTTTTTTAGAGGAAATCTAAACCTAAAGTCTGTTGGCATATTCCTAAGTCTTATTTTTGTTTTATCCCCTCCTCTGAGGGTTATACTTATTTCTTACATTGGTAGATAAGTAACCCAAACCTAAGGTATTTTTAATGAAGTTTAGATGCAAATTCAAACCGGAATGCTCACGCCAGCATCACCTGCATTCATTCACCTCATCATGTACATCAGCTCCAGCCAATCACCATCAAGTCCTCATTCCTGTTCAGCCGACCATTGAGTAAGGTTCTGCTTAAAACTCCTCATCCATGGTCAATTCTGGTCTTCAGCTGAGTTTCGACCCACCTCCACCCCATCTGTTCCATCATGCTCTCAAGCTCTTTCTGTCTTCCTTGTCCTCTGGCCTCCACTCCACCAGCAGTGTCTAGATCCAGGGGGAACATATCTCTAAATCTAATTTCACAACTGTCATCTAAGTTCATTGCAATTGGCAGCTTCCATATCTACACACATACATACATTGGTACATACATACATACATACATACATACATACATACATACATACATACATACATACATACATACAAACATACATACATACATACATACATACATACATACATACATACGTACATGTTTTAATCATGAATTGTTGGTAATACCAAGCTAATGATAAGCTGCTATTATATATTAATTTGTCAAGTGGGAAAAAAAGAAACATAGTATTTAATCAATATTTATTCATTGGAGGCTTCTTCCTGTTAAAGGGAAGTTTTCCTTCCTACTGTCCCTATGTGCATGCTTGGTATAAATGACTGCTGCAAATTAAACAACATAATGCAAAGGGTTGTCCACTGCTGCTACATGTTAACCCAGGAGGAGGGAATTCAATGACCCGATGTTATCTGTTGGTTTCCATGAACAGAAAAACCTTTAAACTCGATGGTTTGACTATATTGAATTGGTAAAGCACCCCCATTAAGCAGTAAATTACACAAAGAAAATTTTTTAACACTACTGATTGGGACTTTTGGTGTAGACAGAAAAGGTAGGGCACTGTATCCCTGCATATAGGTCCATCTTGAAAACATGGCTGCACAACTGAGATCTGTAAAGGTGCTTTTTAACAACTGGCAGAATATCCTTAGACAAGAAGAGAGTAAATATGTTTGCTCAGTTCTCTGGGAAACACAAACGCTGATGGTTTGGGCCTATATTTTAGGCACAAAATCTGGATGCCCTGATGTCACAAGGTTAACCATGAGTCGATTTGTTGCATTTTTCCAAATTCTGATGTGCAGCAACAACTCGCCCCATATTGGATAATGTATCAAGACAATGACTGCCTTAATACTGCAGCATAAGAAATAGTACAACCTGTATCAAGTGGCAGATTAGAGGCCTGACTCCATTTGAGATGGTTTGAAATGATGACCTTTTATAAAAGAAAGAACTCAGTGCAATGAGGTGACCTAAAAAAAATAATAAATTCCCCCATAATCTTAGGCAGAATGTAATTCATAGTTCTAACAAAAATCTACTGAATCAAGATTCTTCCTGATGTTTCTTGTATGCGTTTTTGTTCAGTGTAGGAGTAGATAGTTAATTTGAAGTCCAAATTTATATATTCTGGCGCTAATTAATTAAAAAATTAGATTGAATGCAGCCATACTATCTTTACTATTACTACTGTATAGTAGTCCTACATTAACCTTATAATGTAATCTAAAATGTCCAGTTGACACTGATAAGTCCTTCATGGCTTGCTGATTTTTCTTTTGTGCAGTAAATACTGATGTTTCCACTGGATGATAGAAGAGGAAGAAAGGTTCAATTGACAAAACTGAGGCATTGACTATAGATATGATTTTTATTTCAGCTCACATCATGGCCTCTAGAAATGTGTGAATGAGTCAGGGAAACAGTGCAGTCACAAGCATGCTTCACGTCTTCCCCTTTGCTTCCCCATGATATTTTCCATCTAAGCGTTGCTAAAATTTAAATTAAAGTGCAGCCTTTTTTCAGTGCTTGCATGCATTTTTTTTAATCAGTTTAATTTCTGACAAGACTTGGAACTATCTAAGAGGTCTACATGTAAGTGAAAGGTGTTTTGTTTTCAACTCTTTTCAGTGATATCCCAAGAATCCCCGACACGTCCCACCCTCCATTAGAATCTAGTAAGTATCCTCTCTAATGTGCTTAAAGTATTTAAAGATTTGTCCTTGTAATCAAAATCTAATCAATATATTCATCTAACTGGTAAACCAAAAACTGCATTTATAAGATTGACCTTTGAACTTATGTTTCCTTTAAATGTCAAGTTTAACTGTGGTGATTTTACTACAGGTATATTTAAAGATCATAAAATTTTAAGGAAAATCATTCTTTTAAATCAAAACTAAGAGATATTCGAACATTTAGAAAACAGGTTTCTTTCAGATAATTTATCATCAACTTTGCCAATCTTAAAGATAATAGGAAACTGATGGACTTTTTTCAGTCTAAAAAAAGCCCCAAATATCCTAATACATTGGTGACAGTAGGGGTGTTTACATTAATCATCTGACTACGCAAATTTTAATTCTGAAAATAAATTTGCTAAATGGAAACACTGAAATTTAGAAAAAAAAATAGTTATTTGATATTTTTTATGCTTTGATGTTTTTTTTTTTTTGCTTGTATCAAAATTATGTTATCACAAAACTGTAATGGAAAAATTTTTTTTGCATCACACGTATGGAATTTACTGCTGTCTCTGATGTGACAATGCAGAACATACAGTTACACCTTTAGATTTTACAATGTGGGTTTTAGATTTCACAGTTTTCCGATTAATGACATAGTCAGTTGCCATAAAACACATTGTCACTGCAACACCAAGGCCTGCTAAAAGGCCTTTTTAGGATTTTCCCTTGCACTTCCCTTCATCTACATTTTTTGTGACTTTTAACTAAAGTTGCTTTTCCGTCCTTTAACTTCAACGATTTGATTTAATTTCCTAGCAGGTTCCAGTTCTTTTGAGTCCCAGAAGATCGAGAGACCATCTTTAAATGTCCTGTCTCCCTCCAGTCCTGGGATGCTCCGAGATGCTCCTCAGCTGATGCCAGGGCAGCTATCGGTTAGTGGGTGTGCTGTGACTCTGCCTTGTGGGCTGCTTTGGAGTCCTGAAGTGAATGTGTATGTGCATTTCTTAATCAGGTGAAGCTGTGGTACGACAAAGTGGGTCACCAACTAATAGTCAACGTGCTGCAGGCTACAGAGCTTCCTCTTCGGCCTGATGGACGCCCCAGGAGTCCATATGTAAAGATGTACTTCCTCCCTGACCGCAGGTAGGTCAGCTAAACATCCCAAAGGACACTTGTTGTTCTAATTACTTACTTGTAGTATTCTTATGATGCTTTTGAATCTATTTAAATGCTTTAAATAACAGTGCCTATAAAGTGCCTCAAATAAATCTGTGAACTCAGGACAGATATAGCAGAAGTTCCCTGCAAGCTTTTGTTCCTTGTATTATTTTATGCAGTGACAAAAGCAAACGAAGGACAAAAACCATGAAGAAGACATGCGAGCCTAAGTGGAACCAGACCTTCGTCTACACTCACGTCCATCGCAGGGATTTCCGCAACCACATGCTGGAGCTGACTGTGTGGGACCAACCCAGGTCACCTGAGGAGGACAGCACCTTTATGGGAGAGGTACCTTACACCCAGCGCTTTAACACTAATTCTGCACCACCATTTAGAGGTGAGAGTGAGAATCTTTCTTTGGTAACTTTGGCTTTGCTCTTCAAGCCATACATATATGCTCATTGTATTTATTGGTCAACATAAAATATATGCTTTATAAAAAGAACTGTACACCCACCTTTCATTCATGTTTGTCATGTCAAAATATAAGAAACTAAAAGGTTCTGATCGACACCAGGTTGCAAACACAATTAAATTAAATTTAAAGTGTATTAAAGCACACAACGCCCTCTTAGATGTTATTTAGTAATTAAAAAAGTAAATATTAAATGAAGTTTGTGTGCAAAGCTAAGTGAGCCACAAAAGTCAACAGCATGATGAACCACCAATACAGGAATTACATCAACTGTCAGTGTTTTTTTCTGCCCTTTTTAGAAGTTATGTTTCATTTTTACTCCCTCCTCTCTACAAACGGACTTTCCTTCATTGAGTTTTAAAGAAATCCCTTTCTTCACATCTCTCTAAAAGTCCCAGAACAGTATTTTAATCAATAAGCAGTATTTTAATAAGTTTGACTGTAACTGGGCTGTTAAAACACAGGGATTCTGTATATCTAAAGCCATTCTGCCGAATATATTAACCCTGATTCGGTCAAGCTTTAGCTGTCCAACAGATCTTTTCTTCATTGACTATTTTTGTATAGTTGAGTTTCTGGGTGACTCAGTAGGTGTAGGGTAATGAGATCTTGTGGAATCAAAGCAATCCCAAATCATGATTTGTCCAACACCATGCTTTATAGTTATATTAATCTAGGTTTTTCTGCTTATATTTTTTCATTGTCCTCCAAATGAGCAGCCCCAGTTCTTATGGTTATCAGATTCAACTCAATGAAAATTAGTCTGTCTTTAATTAGAGAGACTATATCAAGATTGAAATCAGTTTCAGTAAAAATTGCCTAAAAATTGCCCCTCCTAGACTGATGGGCAACAGCAATGGTTTGTCTATGGTTATTGCTAATCTAATGTAAGAAAAACACTTATGACATATGGCATTTCCATGACTTGCATTCATTTTATATGGCCTAACCCAGACCCTTAACTTAAACCTAGCTATTACCAACATATATATCTAAGCCTAACCTAAACTGAATTCACACCTTAGTCCTAAACCTAACCCCAACTCAAAGAACAGGACTTTACCATATGGGGACCAGTTGAATGTCCCCATATGTACATCCAAGTCCCTGGGTGTAGGATATTTTACAAAATACTTCCTCCACATTGTCATGTGACCGTAAGCCAACCTTAAATTTAAACTAAACTCAGAAGAAAATGTGTATCCCTGGGATATGGACCTTACACTGTTCTCACAAGGTAATACACCCATTCTGATAGTCCAGGTTCTGACATGCATGTCATTAGAATGTAAAAGCTTTGGTCAAACGAGCAACCAGCAGCACTGAGTAGCGTACCTCCTTGTTTGGATCATGACCTGAACAGATCCTGATTGAGCTGGAGACGGCCTTACTAGACGACAAGCCTCACTGGTATCCCCTTCAAACCCATGATGTCTCATCGATCCCACTGCCCCGACCCTCCCCCTTCCTGCCCAGACGAAACACAGACGCTCCTGGCAAGAAGCTGCAGCGTAAGTCAGAGCTTGCAAAAGTTTTCCTCTGTTTTTATAACATTCACATTTCCCATCTGTGTGTGTGTGAGTGTACACATTATCTATTATTGTTGTGAAACAAAGTTTAAAATCTAAAGTTATTGTCTTTTTTTTATCAGCCTTAGTTGATGCTTCCTACCTACCAGGAATACATGCATCTGTACGTCTGTGTTGCATTCATATATCTGTGTGCATGTGTGTGTGTATTTATGACCGTTTAGGTTCTCAGCGTATAACAGATCCTGAATTTGATGAGCATACAGCACTAGTCTCTAAAGGTGGGTAGGGACTCTTTCTCATGGTTACATGCACTGCGATCTGCCCTGTTTTCTTGCTTCATGTTTAGAGGTTCTCTTGCCTAACTTCCAATTTTCAACTGAAAATGGAAATGTTGGTTTTGTTTTGCAAAAAGCTAATATCACATGAAAGATCTGTGCATGCAAGCCAGGAGGGCAGCAAATCTGATTTATAAATGGCTCTACAAAATACTTTTTTTGCTAAAGTAATACTTTGTTTATCCAAAATTGGATACATTTCTCATTTTCATGGTTATTGATAAATTCTGATTGACCTCCAGTAGCTGAACTAAAGTTAATAAACTACAATCAAGTTGGTGCCCAAGTCTAGGCCTAGAGAGATTATATCCTGCAACTTTTACATTCTCCCTTCTCCAACATAAGAGGGACTCCTTTCAATGCCTCAGTAGAGCTTAATCACTAAATGCTGGTGAGGAAATACAGCCATTCAGTTTTGGAGCATCACACATTCAGTTTTAGTGTCATCCACTTCTGTCAAACCTTTACAGAAGTGGATGTAGCCTTTAAATGATCAGAGATCATTGTACATTTCTAAACTTCTAAGCTATTTAAAATAAAAGTGTATTGTGTTTAATGTAGAAACCTTTTCTACACCTTAGTTGGTATTACTGTGTGTAAACTTGTGCATAACTCTATTGTGCCAAGCAGCAGATGGGCGTGGCAGAGAGAGGCAACGGGAACCGACGTCTACCTTGGAGGTGCCTGATCAACAGCGGACGCCTTCCCATCACATCCGCTCCCGCTCCGTGTCCCCTCACCGTGAGGAGCAGGGGCGCACCATCCGGTCCCGAGCATCCAATGTCCCCACCCAGAGGTCAGACCCTAAGACCGGCTCATTTTTTAAAAACCAATATTTAACTTGCAAGTCAACAAAGCCTAAACCACAGAAGAAAAGAGTAGATTTTATCAGAAGCCAGGAGGTAGAGTCCATCTGTTAATGAAATGGCAGCATGATGCAGAACAGGCAGTTCTGCCAGCTCTGCTTTTACAGGCTGAGCCAAATGAGCCTCACACATAGGCTGCTGCAGCACAGCCTGACTACCAACCTGACTGAGGTCCGTCTGTCTTTCAGGAGTTTGGATGACGAGCTTCCTCACTCTCGGCGTTCCCGTTCTCCAAACCGCTATTGCGAGAACTCCAGAGGGCGGCGTCAGGGGGAGGAATACTTGGACGACAGGTTTGTGTAAATGTGTGGAAACTCTCACCTCTGTATATGGACCCTTCCAAAGTATTCGCACCCCTTTAATTTTCATGGTTTGCCCCACATTGTACTGTATCTGCAGATTTCTATTAAATTTTGTTCCCTTCTTCCTTTATTCCCCTCTTTAGTGACTCTTGTTTTAAATGAAGCATTTGGCAGTTTTAAACTTATTTTTATGAACTCTGAACAGCTTTACTCTCCTTGCTGACAAAGAGCATCCCCACAGCATAATGCTGCCACCACCATGTTTCACCTTGGGGATTGTTAGAGATGCACTGATCCAGTCCCTGGATCAGATATCAGATATCCATTATTTCTAAAGTATTAGAGTAAAGGGGACTTAATACAAATGCAACAAAACCCTTTTAGAAAATGTTATGTTTAAAAAAATAGAAACTCGTGTTTCAACAATTTTTTTCAGTTGTGTTTATTCAACACCCACAACCTTATCAAAATACACGGATGTTTGTGGCTATGTGACACGGAATGATGAGGTTCAGGGATCTGAATGCTTGCAAGGCACTGTACTGTAGATAATGAAGATGTCTCAAGTTCCTTAGGATTGTTTTTTTTATCTGCTTTCTTTGGCTGATAATTGAGATTCTGCTCCCAGTTTGTAGGTGTAAACGTGCTTTCATTAATTTACATTTAATTACCTTTTATTTACACAAGCGTTTTGTTGTCTTTGAGTGTTTTAGTGCTGTCGCTGTAAAATATCTGCCAGTTTTTACACTTAGTTGCTGTGTGTGAAAACAAAAGAGCCCTTATAAAAATCTGCACTATTTCTGAGTTTGTTTGAAGAACGTTAGCAACAGGTTCTCTGTCCTGTTCACATCCTTTACTTCTTCTGCTTTTCTGTTTTTTCACTGTTCTTAATTTCCTCATGTGTCATCCATCCCCATGGTAACCACAGTGAGGTCATCTTGATCCACCAGTCAATGCGCGGCAAAAGTGCCGAGTGCCTGCACACGAGGTAAACTGGCCACTCCTGACATGTAGTTGGCATATAAGGTTTCAGATGAGCTGCATTATCATGTGCTTGATGTTTTTTCTCTAATCGCATTTCATTTAAAAGGTTTTCAATGCTGTATTTACCTGCTATGCTTGCAGAAAGCAAATGCTCATAAAAAAAATAAAACTTGCTTAGAATAGGTCTCCAGTTTTATATTCCATTTATAGTCTAATTAGATGCCAAATGATATTAGAAAAACACACAGAAAGGCATCATATTAAAACTCAGCCACCCTGCTGGTTAGAGGGATTCCCTGGACTGTTCTGCTGTATTGCTGCTTCAGGTCCACAAGAGGGCACCAAAGGTTTTTGGTTGTGTTGCTTTTCTAAGATTCCATTAGGAGTAAAGTGCTGAGTGATTATTGAATTACCGGTAGTTCATGTCTTCTCTTTCATTTAGTTTCACCAACACAAACGTTGGCTATTTATTATAATACAGTAGTTGCCTGATATATACGTTAAAGTTACATCTACAGGGGTCTTATTGTCTTGTTTTAGCATAGAGAAAGAGAGGTAAGTCTAACTCTTGAGAATTCATCTGTGTTCTTTTCTAAAGACATATCTGAGGGAGCTTTTAGATTGTGTGCATACACAGATGTGTTCAATGGAGAAGTGGGTCTCACTGAGTCAGACCTGCATTGCTTATATTTCAGTGCTGTGCTTGATTTGCTTCCACCTGCAAGCTTTGCCATTGATGTTCCCTCATTTTTAGAGACATGCTGAGTGTTTTACAGCATGTACAGAAATGCCTCATTTCTGAGATATAAACGTTCCTAGTGGAAAACAAGTCAAACATTTTTCTCACTAAGCTCACCTGAAGTTCACACCGGATGACTGCAGCAACTCAAGTATTTCTCACATTCAAAGAGGTCAAAGCAAATACTGTTTTGTGTGATAAAGTGGAAAAGCAAAAGGAATCCTCAGTAGTTTTATAAGCCTTTTACTGCCCATTTAATTTTAGTGAACATAGGCAGCTTAGTTGGAAAAATGTTTTGATTTTATTTCTATGTGACCATTACTTGAATTGTTGCAGAAATCTAGTAGGAATTATATAAATATGCCAAAAAAAAAAAATTCAAAAAGAAGAACTTGGACTTGGTGAACGCTTATTTTCCTTGCTGTACTTTGCTGTTAATTAAGAAAACAAATAAGTTTAATTTTGATTCTGCATCAGCTTTGCTCAAATATACTATGTTTAAACATTCAATAAGTCCTGGTTTCTTTTTCATTTGATGTTTATATCCACTCTCTGTCTTGTTGCACTCTTTCCTCTGTCTTACACTTCTATCCATTTATTTGCATGCTCAAATTAGGCTTTCTGTTAGATTCAATGAAAGAGGAAATAACTTTGTCCAATGGTACCTACAAAGAGACAAGGTAGGTGTATCAGTTACTGGTTCACTATGCTTGGAATGAACAAGACAAATTACATATTAATTTTTGGATGCTCTGCTAACATCAGTCTCCAGTATTGATATTAAGTAATAATTAATGTAAACTAGATAGAATGTGCAAAACTAAGCCGGTTTTGAATATTTTTGTTAAAAACATATGTAGAACTAAAATACTTTTATCATAAGTAATTGGTATATGAGAAACAGGAAAAAAAACTTCAGTGATCTGGAAACCCCAGCCTTCCGAAATACCCTTAAGTACCTTCAGGGTTAAGAGAGTTGGTCAACACTGAAAACAACAGTCATTAGAATACCTTTTGAAAGTAAAATAACTTAAGGAGTCAACCCTCCTTTAAAATAAGACTTCACATTGGAGGCTTTCTTTGTAGAATTGTCCTTTTTTGTACTAGTTGTTCCAGTTGGATCTGATTTGTACAGTTGGTGAGTATCTGACTGATAGAGCAGGTCTTCTGGTAGTTTCACTGAAACTTTCTTCATGTCCTTGCAACATGAAATCTGTATTTTTGTGTAAAATGGACACAAGATGTGAGTATCTCCAAAGCAGCTTTTGCATATTAGAATAGTTTGCATGTTTTGTTAGCAGTTTCCCGCTTCATGCATGATCAAAGCTGAGCTACTATACAACCGGTGGTGGTCTGAACAGCACGGCTCACCATCCTGGGCACTAATCAAATTTTGGTAAGAAGTAAAAATAATCATTAACATGACAATTATATTTTTTTTCTCAACTTCATCAGAACATAGGCAGACTCCCATCCTTAACCCTACCAGTCATGCTTTAGGTTAAACATTTTGGGAATGTAACCAAGCATTCTTTGAAAAACCTTTTCTGTTTGTCCATTGTTTCTCTTTGTTTCTGTCCTGTCCCTTTGTCTCCTCTTCCTTTCTCCTTCTATTCCTCTATTGGATGGCATGTTTTGCTGTCGTGCATCTAGTGATCTCCAGCCAACCCTGGACAGGGTTAAGAGTGCTAGCGCCAACTGTCTCACTCCAGACAATCATGTCCCCCCACCAGAGACTGAAAGGTACCAGCCTCTGCTCCCGCCCAGTCCTTGTAGATCCCTTTAGTTCCCCTGTTTTTTTGTAGTCCCCTCTTCCCTGTACGATCCTTCACATTAACAGATTTTTTACCCTTTTTTCACTTACCCTGCTCTTGCGCTTGGCACCTCTTTATTTTTCTTACAGATCTTGCACATGGACTGAATCCTTGAAGTTGTATATTAAGTTGCAGAGAGTACAGCGATGGGAAATCTGTGACCACCCTTGTTGCATTCATATAGTTTGAGTTAAAAAAATCGAAAAAATGAAAGGCTACTAGTTGAAATAGAATAAGTTATCATTGGTCAAGTTACAAAGTAGATTACTTTGGTGCATGATGAGTTTACAATGTTATTAAAGATCAATTTTTGCTGCCCTTTAATTTGAAAAGAGTTATTAAAAGCAATTTCCACAAAATCTAAAGATCATCAAAAAACAAAAACAGATTATTCTGAAAGGAAATATATAAATATATCTGAAAGGAAAATTGCTAGTTTTCCCAATAAAGAATAGTCCAGCAAATTAGCTACACTAGTGAAGAAATGCTCCCATTGTTTTCTTTACTTTTTTAACCTTCATTTGTACAAGTAGTCTCAGGCAAACAGTAAGAGAACCCATATAAGCAGGGCTCCATCTCAGAGTCTTTAGATCCTACTTGTTCATGAAACAACAATCAGTAAGGATCCAAACAACTATGGCTATTTTGGGAGCATTTCAGACGATAAACTCTTTAAAACAAATATACATAGGATTGCAACTTAGGTTTAAAGTAGGTTTGAATATGACCCACAAAACTTCAAGAATAATGTCATGTGGTGTTTGTTCCTAATGCACAGCTTCTTGATTGGAAAAAAAGACAGCAGATCAGGAAAAACATCTTCCACAGACTTTTAAACATGGTAGAGGAGGGGTGATATAGGCTGGTTGTTCAACTAAAGCTAATGAGAATCTTGCAGTCATTCAGTCAGAGATGAACTCCCTCAGATCAAGTATTCTCTAGTTAAATGTGTCCTTCAGCTCAGTAGTGAGAGTTTGACCCAAAACAAATCTTTGGGACAAGGGTCCCAAAATTCATGAACAAATCTGCAACACAGTGACTGTTTAATAGACAACAGAATCAGGCTGTTGCCTTGGCCTTGTCAAACTTTAGACCTCTACCGGTTTGAAATGCTGTGGTGGGGCCTTAAAGGACCCAGTCACATATTATGACTATGAATGTCTTCATAAGTAGCTCATTGGGTGAATACAAAGGCTTTCCAGTAAAGTTATAACACTGTTTGCTTATTATTATATTTTATTTCTGTTTTGCTTCTTGTTTCTTTCGTCTGTTTGTTAGTTAACATAAGTACTTTGTGTATTTACCTTGCAAAGACCAAGTGGCCGAAGTTAAACTCTTGCACATGTGTGCAATGAATGAGGAAGGAAGTTATAGAGCCAAGCAAGTCAGCAATTCCCTAGTGGCAGCTTGAAAAAGTGCAACAATAATTGGACTGCAAACACATGATTAAACACAAGTAGCACTCAGAAGACGATATGAACTTAGGACTATGTGGAAGCAGATACTATCAAAGCTGTTGGGTTGATGAATGCATGACAATAAACTGAGGTCGTGACTAAGTCTGCTGATTGTGGGTGGTGCAAAGAATTTCAAGCTTAAAAAGGACTACATGAACAAGAAGAATATTTATTTATTTTTTGGGTGGGCTGTTATAGGCGCAATACGTGACTAGGACCCTTTAAAAGATGCATGCAGGGGAGAAAAATAAAATTACTTTGAATGTACTGAAGCAATGTTGCCAAAAGTAAAAGCCATAAAGCATATGATCACTGATAGCTGATTAATGTTCTCAAAGTGTTTCTTAATGGGGTCTTTCTTTTTCCCATTGCTGTATATGATTAACAAATACCATTTAGCAGACTCCACTGGTTTACCTTCAAATGTTAAACTAAGGGACTGTTACTCTGAACTTTTCTGTAGCTTTTTTAATGTAATTTACCAAATTGCAACCAACATGGACAGGATGCTTGTGTTGTTGTAGAAAGACAGTTTGTAATCCATTTTGGAGCTCAGCTGCTCAACATGCGGTTAGCTTAGCTTCAATCCTTCATAATTCTAAAATAACCCCTAACATCATTAAGGTACATAGGATGGGAGTTATCACTGTGCCAAGCATTATTTGCATCTCAACTGACATTGCAAAACACTTGGGTCACTATCATTCATTGTGTTCATACTCACCTTGAAGCATTAACACCTGAATCCATTTGATGTCTGCATTCTTGAAGTATCTTTCACTTAAAAACCAGGCAATGAGAAACACTCTTTGTGATACTTTTATATAATAGAGATAAAAAGAAGATTAAATCCTTTTTTGCTGGTTGCATTCAGCCTCAGAACTACTGGCAGCTGTGTGACAAATCAAGGTTTTTAGTGATGATAGAAAAGCTTTGCACTCCGATGTTGGTATCTGGGTGACATATTTTGTATGTGTACATGTAGAAAAACTTTCTCCCAATCCCTGCCTCGGAGACGTCCGGCAAGTCCCAGGATTCTTATCCAACATGCTTCCCCTGAAGATGACAGGTAGTCTCTTGTGGATGCTCCTCTGCTTCCTTTTGGAGCTTGACTTGTGCCTTAAAATCTGATGCCAGTATGACCCAAACAATCAAAAAGGGTATCTGTTTATTTCATTAAAGTGCTTAAAAAAAATCTGTTTTTACTTTTAATTTCTCTGTTTTATATAGTATTTATTTTTTCTTTTGCAACATCATTTGTTTTTGCTAAAAGCTGACTCAGCATCTCTTTGGTTCAGTTGGCCTTAGTAGGTTCGGGCAGATGTCAAGCTCTATGTTCGCTCCAATCTCTTTGCTGAGAGCTGATATCTTTGTGATAGCTTCTAGTGAACCTTGCTAGACATCTTTTCTAAATATCCTTTCTGACAATCATGTAGCAAGTGACTTTATCTTGTATCCAACACATTAAGTGTAAAATAACAGCAAATGATGGTCTTGGGTGTAATCAAAGTTAAATAATATTGACGTAAAACTTTTGATCTTACTCTGTCAGGGTATTCTGATTTAGAAAGTTTACTCACTTCAACAGAAAAAATAGTCAGGCCCTTAGAATGACTGATAGATTTGGATGTGGTGTACAGTAGTACACAAATTAAGCAAAGAGTTGTATTTAAAAGGTTTTATTTTGCAAGCAGATGAGAAATCAGACATCAGTAGGTACAAGCTGTGTCATTTTAGCGCAGTGTTGAACAAGGTACAGAAGCATCCAACGGTCAATTCAAATACGTTGATGAAGTCACAAATGACAGTGAATTATTCTATACTCAGCTGTAACAGTTTAAGTTAAAAATATCCTACAGCTATTCTTTTTCCTTCTCACTTTTTTAAATGATGGTCACGAAAAGAAGGGGAAGAAGTTCTGAATTTAAACGGGTCAAATGGTAAGTGTAAAAAAATCAGACACAGATGAAGCCTCAGATACATTACAGGACATTAGCAGCACCTGGGGTGTGAGATGCCATCAATTCTGGTTTGCATGACCCTGGATGGTTTTATCCACTGCCCATTTAGAGACATAAAGAACTGTATGGATTTACAGTTTCCAGTGCATAGTCAGTGATTTTTTTTTATTTCTTTTTTATTGGCTATGTTATACAGAGCTATGTCTATGATACACTTTGCAAGTGTTGCACATTATAACAATCAGGAAAATAGTATGCCACAAGGGCACCCATTATTATGCGACTCGTTTGAGGGAATAAGGTCTAAGTGTAACCCCCTGCATCAAGTACTGTTAATGTTGTCTAATGAAACCAGCCACCATCAATGAATGACTGAACATTGGATGCTTTGGGACCTGCTCTATCACTCCACTGGTGATGTCAACACTTTTTCTCTCTGATGCCCATTCTAGATGTACTTCTATAGCAGCACTCCTCTGCATTACATTCAAATCATATCCTTCCTTCAAGGGTGCTTTAGCCTCGTTTATCAGTGGAGATGTTTAGAACTAACCTAATAAGTAGGAAATAAGACTATTAGATGGCCATATTTATCTAGCTGGACTGTTTTTTTTTTTTTTTTTTGGGTGTGTGTATGTTTCTAAACAAAGAAAGCAATCTGCCAGCTAACTCCTGAATCTTAATAAATATAAATGTCAAAAAGCCATTCATTTCAGTCACTCTATTCAAAAAGTGAAACTCCTACAGATATAGAACATGCAGAGTGATTAACTGAGAGTGACAATGTGCTTCCTAGTTTGAATGTGATCATGGCCAACAACTACTGAAGACAAAAAAAAATTGTTTCTCAGAAAATTACTTTTACATATGACTAATAATAAAAACAGCTGTAACAGACAATTGTTGGTCTACTGTTGAGAATTTCTAAATTTCACATTCAGTAAATTTTGCAGTGTTAAAGTAACACTTAAAGAGTCAAAAAGCCAATACTTTTGCATTTAGTCCCAGTTTGAATCAATGTTGAAATAACTCCCTAGATAGTGTATTACTCCAGTCGTAATAACTCTAAAAGAGTCAATTTACTTTGACACTGCATATTTAACACTGTGAAATTTATTGCGTATAGCTGTGACCAAGTTAGCGTTTAGTTTGGGCTAATTTTGCATGAAATAATGCATCAGCGCAGAGTGGAAGGGAGGTGATAAGCCTGTCTTCCTACTGAGGTTTTAAGGAAGCCCACATAACTTTAATAATGGCCTGCTATGTTGGCTCTGCTGTCTCCCGTCTTGTGCTTTATCAGTCACAGTGAGACCATAGTAATTAAAGCAGCTGCAGCACTTAAGCAGTGTGGGCTGGTGCCAAGTCCTGCTGGCTCAGAATCTCCACTGAGGCTGTAAGCAAAAGGAAGCTGAAAATTCTTTAAGATTTTCTGATTAAGAGCTGCTCTGACTTTGGACCTCAGAAAAGACAGATGACCTGGCTACACAACACAGTACATAATGTAATGGAGTATGCACCTTCCTAAACATCCCCCAGACTGTGGGACCTTGGTTTAAAAAAAAAAAAAAAGCAAACGTTGCTTCTGTCCTAAAATAGAACTCTGGACCACTTAGCCCAGTCAACCCAGTGGTTTTTCTCCTAATTCCAGAGTCTATAGTTCAGGAGAAGTTAATACAACATTTTTGGCCCATATCCTAGTAGGGCTGTGTTGCTGCTCCAAATCCAACTGGAATTCACAGCTTCTTAATGGACTTTACTTCAAAATTCTCTCAAGATTGCTGAGCACCCTTTCCTTCAGCACCTGTTTTCATTCAGCAGCATCCCAATAACTTGCCTGCGTACAATAATTAATGATCAATTTTTTCTTAAGAGTGTATGGCTGCAGCTTGGACACATCCTGTGTTATAGCGCTCGCCTTGTGGCGCTTGTCTGGTGACCTTAAGGCACTCCTCGATGCTCTTAACCTCGCAAACAAGTCATCTTTTGTGTGATCATAACTTAATCATCTTAACTATTAACAATTTTATTTCAGTTAATTTAAATTAACATTACATTTTTATTAGATATGAACTGTTAAAGTGAAAAGAAAAACATCAGATATATCAATATATTCAGTTCAGTTTATTTAATGTATATAGCACAAATCTTAAGGCACAATCTAAAGGCTACATAGGCAATTCAAGGAGAACTGTGTCAAAGTTTTGGAAGGAAAACAGCAATCTCTCGGCATTTAACTATTGTCAGTTAAATTGCCAGAATAGCAGCACTTTTTTTAGCCTAATCTATTTTAAATCACTTTTGCTATTTCTTGACACAACTTGAAGTGAACAACTTATACCCTTAAAAGTCAGTTGCAATGATGCTGTTGACAAATACAAGATAAAGTTACAAGCTACGGTTGTCACTTGCAAACTCTGTGGCCTCCTGTTGGCTGTGATGTGATAGCTGAGCTGAGAACAGTTTGAAGGACTTATAATATAATATAGAGCTTGTCATGCCTTCCCAGGCACAGACGAGCTCTAATCTCCCTATTTTATTACAAAGTGCTGCCCACATTTTGTGAAGGGTTGTGCAGACTTATGTGCCAGTGGTGTTTTTCAGTTTGTACTCTGATAAGAAAAAATAGCCAAAGCTTTTAGTTGTGATTTGTGGTCGCTTTTAGTTTTCTCTTGACTTCCTCTCTTTGCTTCACGACTTTCTGTGCGAGGTTTGTGTCGCTTTTATCTTGGAGTTGTTGGATCTGGCTGTGGTGTGCGCTTCCTGCTGTGTTTGCTTCTTATAGTCCACTTTTTCAGTTCTGGGAATTTGCAGTTACTGTGTTTGCGCTTGCTCCTCTCAGTCTTTGAGAAGTGTTGCTGTTTCTGTTTTCTGTGTCCCCAAGCCCTTTTGCACAGAGAAGATGTGACATCCATTATTCATATCATAAGTGTGTCTGTGTCTTTGTGTGTGTGGTGGCACATACATCATCCTTGTCGTCTTTATGTCCATGAATGGAGAATATGGATGCTACTTCCATCTGAAGAGACTTTAATCCACCTCAGTACAAAGAAGAGGTACTCACACACTGAAGTGCACACATTCGCATGCATGTGGGCCACGATGAAACATTTTTTGGTTCCACTACACAATGCATTACAACAGGCCTCTGTTTCCAGATTATATACAAGTTCATAAACTGTAAGGAGTTTAAAATCTATCTCCCATCCACACATCCATCCATTCATGTTTTTATTCTTTTTTTGTGTCATTCCCTTTGCTCATCGGCCATTCTCCAGGCAGCCTCGGACCCTGGAAATCCCAGAATGTCAGACTTTTGGCAGGAAGCGGTCTGACAGAGGCAGGTAAGACATGTACTGTAGACTCAGCACATGTCAAAAATGCTCAAAGGCAGATGGAGCTTACCTCTGCAACAATATCAGACACCAGTTTTTGACAAGCATCTTCTGCAGGGGGCTGGTAGAGTTATCAAGATTTTCTTCTTTTTTTTTTCCGAGTTGGGTTGTAACATATTAAGTTCTTATTTAGCTTAGCATAGTTTGTTTAATTAAGGGTTCAAGTTATTTTTGACATAGGAAAAATTACCAACTAATAAGGTTTCAGGCACTTTACAAAAATAAAAGTCAGTTAAATTCAATGATTTCATCTAGAATAATCCTATGGATCAAACATTGCAGTTGACCTGCAAGAGATCATCAGTCCAATGTTGGTGTGGAAAGATAGCAATAGCCTTAGAGAGGAAACTGGTCTGTTTTTGATCTGAGAGAAGTAAAAAAGCCTCTTCCATCTTCCAATGATCAAGTCCATCATTCTATAGATAGATAATTCGCAGGTGGAAAACATCTATTACAAGGGTTGTAAAGTACAGGTCTCAGCGTATTTTATTTAGGTCATATTATTTAGTTCTATGAGGGAATAAAACTCCTGGTTTAAGTTTATGTTTCAAAGAAAAGACTGAACATGCCTGTTGAGTTTGAAAGAATTGAAGGAGAAAGCTCTTTTCTCTAATTTCCAAAGTTGCATAGGAACAAACAAGAAGTCCTCTGTAACAGTGGTCTTTTGACAGATTCAAACAGCTGCAATTGATAGTATAATTTTCCTGGAGTTTTTTGTCACATCTGTAAAAAATCCAGAAAACTAAGCTAAGATTTACTTCAGGACTGATCAACAAAGCACTTACCAGGAAAATAGCATTTTATTTTGTTTATTTGGTGTCTAATGAAAAGGCTTTGACATTTAAAAAAATATTTTTAATTTAAATACTTCTTACCTTGATGCTGTGTCCCTGTTTGCCTTTGGTTGGAGAGGTAATTTTATTTTTATTTTATGTTCTAGTAGGAGGGTCTTGGAAGTCAGAGTTGGTGTAGAACAGATAATTTTTTTAATGTGAGCTGGTATGTTACCACACAGAGCTGTCGCTTTTCTGCGAGGCATTGCAGCTTGGTCAGGCTTCATTATGTAGCTCCATTAATGACCACCATCTAAGTTTCTGGTTGTTCAGTGGTGCTGCTGACAAATGGTAGCATGTCTGTTTTCCTGCTCAAGGTGACCAGTTCTGGAATTCTATTTAAGCTCAAAGAAGACAGGCCAAGCACTATCAGGATGGTCACTTGGTGTATATGTCCTTATTGTACCGTGTTTAAATGGTTTTTGGTCTTTTTCGTATAGATATATAATGTGAATATTCCCCTTTAAACAAAAAAAGCAGCTCAGTGGAGGAAGTACGTAATCTGAAATGAAACTACACTGACCTTATTTGAAACCTTTTTTCCTCATTATGCATAGTGTTTTAAAGTTTTAGTACGGAGGAATTAGGGAGGGTAGGACTTGCCCATATTCTTGTTAAGTGAAACGATTTTCTTTTACGTTTGATTGCTATTTCTGACCTGTGGTGATGTAGCAATGATAGTTATTCTAACTGGCAGTGATGTTTGGTTCAGACGGTGTTAAAATCTTGAACCAACACTCATTTCTTCATCAATTAGCTTCAAGACGATTCTTAGAAACTTTGATATAAAGAGAAAACTTTTCTCAGCTTTTTGTAAGCATTACGTTTTCCACTGTCCTATTTTCCACAGTCCTTGTTAAAGTAAAAGGTAAAGTAAAACTCTCTCCATGTTTAAAAGAAAGCAGAACTTAAGATTCACAATTTTTTTTTTCTGTTTTAGTTTTTTTCCTGGAATGTAAAACATTTTGCATAATTATAGACTCTGTTGTATTTGATGTGATTAAAAATGTTACCTAAGCACCATTTAAAAAAACGTTCTCGAGTTGTAAATAGAACAAACATTATCTAGGAGATTAAGTCAGCTACGTATTTATTGCATAGGTGAGATACATGTTGCTCCAAAGCTAAAGCATCTTTCTGACAGACAAATACTGAAATTGTGTGGAAAAAAGCCATTAAAATCTTAGTTTTCATGTAAGGTTTGGAAAATATTTATAATAAATCTTAACTATTGAATGTAAAAAAATTAAAATAAAAAAAAAAACTGCATGAGAACACTCTGAACAGTGTGAATATTTGTGTAAAAAACAATAAGGAGTTTTTAAACAGAGTTTAAAAATCTGGTTAAAATGTTTGTTTATCGTCTATTTTGTGACTATTTAAGCAATTATGTTGTATACTTTTATTGCTCATCCTAAGTGTTTCTTTATACCCTAATTTGGGTGGATGGGTAATTGTTTTAAATACAAAATAGAATTTTAAAAGACCAGAGCTTTTCAGTATAAACTCTTCCACATGTTTAGGTGATGAGTATCTTAACACTGGTGTTTATTATAAAATATCTACAGTTGCTAAGCTGTGTTGTTTTCCTTTTTTTGTTCCAATTTTGCTTTGCACGCTGCAAATTTACATTACAGGGTTTGTATGGTAACTATGTGTTTGTGCATCAGTGAGTGACCATCGAGTGTATGCGCCACAGTGGAGGCCACCTCACCAGGGTTCACCAGGCCCTGAATAATGGTAGCTAGAGAATTGGTCAGTAGTTGCCCCTCATTCAGCTGGATGCTGCTGTTGTTGATCTAACTTTGTGTGGATGTTGTTGTTGTGGTTCTCATCGTATCATTGTTCTGGTGTTGTTTCTCCACTGCTCCATTGGTCAACAGAACTCCCCCCAAATCCGTGAAACCTTTTTTATTATTAGGATGAAGGTGTTTATGAAATTAGCTTTTCCAGAAGCTTTTTTTTTTTCGGTATCTAGTATCTGCATTTGCTTTGTTGGGATTTTGTATCTAGTTTTCTACAGGTTTAGCAGTCTGCTGCTCCTCTGGCTTTACCGCTTAACTTTTCCACATGTTTTCCTCCTTTCAATTTTAACCTCCATCTTGTCCCAGCTTGCTTGTATTCACTATAATACTCATATTTTCTCTCTGTCTGCTGTGGCTCTCATGCTTTGTGTTAGGGGTCATCTGCACAGTGGTGCATCTCTGTCGTCAGCGGCGGCAGCATCGGCAGCACGCAGAGCAAGGCAGCTTCCACAGCTTCCACCCCAGAGCAGCTCCGTAGAACAAGGTACGAGAAAAGAAAATGCTCCGCACTACCTCGGTAGTAGTTATAGATAAAATGGGGTGATTTGGGTTATTCTTTCACCCTCAGCAAAGTTATCCAAGACCAAAACTGGAAGGTATCTTTTTTTTGTTTTATATGGAAAAAATATGAATTAAAAGGACACAAGTTTAAGCGATACTCTTCTCTTTTTCAGATGTTTTGTTCGGTGCTTTGACATAATTATCTAATCCTGCTTTAAACTTCTCCACAGCTTTAACCATGACCTGTCTTTCGTTTTCTCTGATTTTACTGCAATTATTTGCTCACTAATGTACTTTTATAAAGTTAGGCTTTCACAAATCACTGCATTTATATTACATTTTACCTATAAATTGATTATTCACTAATTGGAAGATGATTTGTTTTGTAGGATTTTGTATGTGGGTGTCAGTAAAAAAAGGCTGAACACTAATACACATGACACTTTTTGAATTTTTATCTCAAAACATTTTAAAACCAATGTATCTATGCTCATCTTGTTTTGGTTTTAAAGAAACTAAGACAAGGGTTGCAGCTTCTTTGTTGTGCATTATTTGTCTTCAGGTAAATGACACCTCTACCAGCAGCATTAACTGGCATTCCCCCCAAACAACATGAAAACAAGGCAGATTCTGGGAATCTACATTCTATAAAAAGAAACAAATAATGAGTATAAAAGCCACCTACATGCAGACTGTACAGATCTGCTGAACATCACAAGGTCCATCTCCACCTTTTTATACAATAATATTACCTTTGCAAAACAATGTATGTTATTGTGATTTGAAATGTCACAGTCAATCTGGAAATGCAGTGTGTTACAGAAAGGAAAGGTTTGCAAAAAGGTATAAAATCTACTCTTGACAGAATTAGCCTATTTACCGCACTCACAATGAGTGCTCTGTATGTATGTTGCCTGGAAGTCCTAAGCTGCTGCAACATTTCATCAAAACTTGCAATTAAATTATTTGCATTTGTGGAGGCTGGATATCAGACAGGCAGAGAATGAAAATTTCACCCATACTGATATATATATTAACGTTTGCATTTAAACATTTTTTTTAACTAAGTAAATATTAATAATTTAGTTATTTGTTAAGTTAAAGAGGTTAAAGAAAACAACTCCCTGTGATTCCTCCCAGAGTTCCGCCTAACTCAGATTGTGGTTCTGGGACTCAGTAACTGGATGTGCTCAGACTGTTTGCTGCAGGTCTCCACAGAGTTTCCCCTGAGATTATTATTGAATGGATGCTAATCACTTTCTTTATACCCTACACATGCAGCCCTGGTAGCAGAGGAGCGTGTTCGTCAGCTCCAGATGAGGGTTCATTCTAACCGGATTTCAGCTGCCACCACCTCCAGCCAACAGGACCTAGACAGAGCCCTCAGAAACAAAAGAGAGGTCAGCAACCACTGTTTTGTCTCATTGGGTCCTAAAACCTGAAGAGGGGAGTTTTGAACAAAAAAAAAAAATGTATCACAATAAGAACTTTTATAAGAAAACAATAAAAAAGAAACCTAAACAACCTTCAATCCGCACATACAGTGTAATGCCAACAGTGCCGGGTCACCTAATCCATGAATTCAGATATTTAAGTCACTTCTATAGCTGCATGTGTTCAAAAACTTAACAGACCTCAACCTTATAGAATACCTTTGGGAGGAATTAGATCTGCTGCTGCGTTTCTGGTTTTCTCATCTTAATATGAACCCAACCTTAAACTTTGTAGACAATGTTGAGAGATTATTTTACGGGAATGGGGGTCAACGACAAATGGGAACCTGTAGATTAAGGATAGGATATCATCAGAGTCAATTTACACATGAATGCAGACAGAAAACACTTTTGTTATTTCCGTGGATATATGCATGCTTACTCCACCATTTTACATCTCCCCTGCAAGCTGCAGCATAAGCAGATAGTGGTGAAGAGGCACAGGTTCCAAAGCCATCATAGAGCCATGTGCAATTCAGAAAAAAAAAAAAACTAAAACATGTCAGTAGTCATGTATAATTTTCCCTCTATTCTCCATTATGTGTACATCTGTTGATTAGTCACAGAAAAGGCAAGTGTAAGCAGACCTCATTCCTTTTTTCACTGCAACCCCAGAAACAGAAATGTGAGTGCTGCCTTCTGTAAGGCAAGGCAAGTTTATTAATATAGCCCATTTAGGTAGCAAGACAGCTAAAACTGCTGTACATGAAAAAACTAAAAATGATCATAACAGGAAAACCAAGAGAAGTACATTGCACCGGCATAAAGGTAATTAAAAAATAAATCAAAATGTAAGTGAATAAAAATGAATAGTTATAATAATACAATTCTTATAACACAGCATAATAAACTAATGAATGAAATGAAAAACCTTAATAATGTTTAGATATTACAATGTAGGGTCACTCTAAACAAATAAGTTTTTAATCATGATTTAAAACAATTAAGGGTTTCAGCACTTATATAGTTTTCTGAGAGTTTGTTCGAGTTATGTGGAGCACAGATCTAAAAGCTGCTTCTCCATGTTTGGATCTTGGTAGGCAGAGTAGAGTCGAGAAGACCTGAGAGGTCTTGCCGGCTGATAGGCTATAGTGATATATGGCGGAGCTGTGCCACCAACGTTTTTAGGTGCTCTGTTGGGTTAGAGGCTTGAAGGACATAAAAGGAAGGACAGGTAAGATAAACAACAGACCTCTAACAGATGTGGTAAACATAACATGGGCAGAGGCACGGAGAGGATACTGTCTGTAGGTGTGAATGATACAATAGTAAGTAGCTGCCTGAGGGGCGATCCTCAGGTAAGGTTGCTGTAGCACTTATCTATTAAACTAATGGAGTCATCGCTACTCTTCCTGTAGCAAACTGAGTGCTTTATACATTAATGGAGCAGCTTTTTATCAGCACCAAATCATAGACCACAGTAACTAGCTACTTTATTTGTAGCTTACATTGGAGGTTAAAAAGTCACACTACTACAATATGTAATAGCCTTTGAAACAACTTAAAACTCTGACTTGTAATGACATGAAGCTAAACTGCTACTGATCTGTTGATGAATGCTTATGTAATGGTATAGTCTGGACTAGAGAGCAGATCTATCTGTCCAATGTTGGTGAGCTGTTTAAAAAACCTGCAGTGTTTTTTGGGGGGTTAATTCACATCTCCTTGGCAGATGTGAATTAACCTGAGCCCATGTAGAGTCTATGTATGGAAAACTGCTGTACGTGTGAAACACACCAGCCTGAAACATTTTTATCCTTTGTGTCCTGCAGCTCTATAAGGACCAGCGGAGGAGCAGTGAAAATGTATCCCATAAGTCCTCAGACAGTGATGTCAGTGATGTGTCAGCCATCTCTCGAACCAGCAGTGCCTCTCGCATTAGTAGCACCAGCTACATGTCCATCCAGTCAGAGAGACCCCGGGGTCGCTTCAGGTACCCACACACACTCTTGCAGTTAGATATAGACTTTCTGTGATCCATAAGGTATTAATGTTTCTGAAATGCTGACCGTCAGCCGAGCTGTACGTGCATCGGGTCGCCACATTCTGAAGAGCACCAGTGTCAGCGGTGAGATCTACGGCATGGAGCACGCTGATGGCAGCCAGTCGGACACGGCCCTCGGGAGTCTGGGGAGCGGAATCAAGAAGCGGCGCTCAAGTCTGAGCCAACGGGTTGTTGCCATCCTGCCGTCGAGACGGAGCCGGAGTACTTCACAGATTAGCCAGACAGGTCAGAAAGAAAGTCCAGAGTTTAGCAATTCTTTTTTTCCTCCAAGGATTGATATGATATTGACTAAGAAAGATGGGAAAAATTAGAATTCCAGTAGAACAAGACTTGTAGACATGTAGAACACTATTTTTATCCAGTTTAATTATGTATTGTTTTTTTTTTTTTATTATTATTATTATTTTAAACTCAACAGCAAAATGTTCCCTATAGGAATTCACATGCAAATACGCTGATCTTCCATGACCAAAGAGACCAACAGCCCTAATTCAAGTACAACAGCCTTTAGGAAACCAGTGAGCTTATTTGATCACATGACACATTAGTGCTTTTGGCACTAGCTCTCATCAGGTCAGTCAAATATCTCAACTGTCATGCTTTCCCCAAAGAACCTCTCATTTTTGATATTACCAGTTAAAAGAATAGAGGTAAGTCTGATGCCTTGAAAATTAAGTGTTTTATAATGGGCTGAAATGTTCAACACATTTTAGGAACCCAGCTAACCATGAAGTAACCCAGCTCTGCTTAAAGTAGTGGTGCGTCATGTGATCAAATGAGCATATTTAATTTCCTAAAAGCAGCTGGACTCGCTATATCAGATTTAGTTGTTATAGAAAGTCAAAACATTTGGAGGCCAATTTTTTAAAGGTAAATTTGAAAATTTAGGTACATGAAAAAAACATGAAAGAAAAGAACACAAGTTTAAGCGATACTCTTCTCTTTTTCAGATGTTTTGTTCGGTGTTCTGACATAATTACCTAATCCTGCTTTAAACTTCTCCACAGCTTCATCCATGACCTGTCTTTCGTTTTCTCTGATTTTCCTGCAATTATTTGCTCACCAATGTACTTTTACAAACTTAGGCTTTCACTAATCACTAAATTTATATTACAGTTTACCTATGAACAGATTATTCACTAATTGGAAGATGATTTGTTTTGCGGGATTTTGTATGTGAATATCGGTAGGCTAATTTAAAGTTAAAATAGAAATTCAAACAAATAATAGCATAGGATAAATAATATAAATTATAAATCTTATAAATTTAATGCCACATAAAGAATGGATCAGACAGGTTAACATTTAATGTTTGAAGTGCAACCTCTAAAGGAACATTAAGAGTACAGAATAGAATCGGATGGAATAGAATAGAATAGAACAGAATAGAAAATCTGTTTATTGCCCCACAATGGGGAAATTGTTGTGCTACAGCAGCAAAAGCTTATAGCCAAAGTTCTCACACAAATGTGGACCTCAAAAGGTGTATACCAGAATAACTGACAGAGTAAAAAAGAAAATAAACAAATAAAATACTGTACTCTACAGTGTTTTACAATATAAATACTGTGCAACCTGGAGAATGAATAATCAATAGACAGCTAGTTAATAAATTAATATATTATATATATGTATATATTATATATATGTACATATTTTAATTGTTTTCATAACTTTACCTCCATGTGAATGCAATAAAATCCAAGAATACATAAGGTGATGTTTTATATTTCAAACCTCTAAAAAGAACAGTTAAAAAATGTATTACTAAAACAACAAATAATTAGAAATTATAACACCCGCTCTAAAAGTAGCACTCACAATCAGAACATGTAAATGTTGGATTGCAACTGAAGATGAGTGATCTATTCTTAAATGAATACATTTCTTTGTTTTCCAGGGGACCAGTTTCAGACTGTGTTTGTCAACACTCAACCACTTGACATAAAAGCAATAACTGCTTGAGTTTGGTAAAAACAAGCAGTTAGTGTCCTTCATGCATTTGTTCTTAAAAACCTAACAAGTAATGAAAATGATCACTGAATCAGGAGGACACATTAAAAACCTTTGAGATTGTTGTTGTTCATTGTTCTTGTTGTTGTTCTGTGTTATTTCAGAGGCAGCGGGTAAGGCGGCGGACAGACAGAAAGGTAAAGCAAAAGGAAGGAGGTCCTTCACTGCAGGGAATTTAGCAGGCAGGACATCCAATAATAAAGGATGCTATGTCTATGAGCTCATCATAAATACTGCATGCTACTACGGTGTGCAGGAGTGGATGCTTAGAAAAGGATATAGAAGAGGTTATATTTATAGTTCATTTATTACTTCACAGATATAATGGTTATGAATTATTGAAAAATACTAATAACCTCAAAGAAACAGATAATCATCACTAGATGTGAAGCAAAAAGAAGTCATAGGAAGCACAAGTACCTGCAGATGCTGATGTGCTGTTAGAAAGGACTCTGTAAATCCTTCCTGGTCCCTGTCTTTGGCACGCTCCCTTACCCCACCCTCCAGCCATATCTCTGTTCTGTTCTCCAGTGCCTTTTAATAGCATCACACTCCTTGGACTTTTTCACTTTTGTCACACGAGCAAACTTCAATGTGGCAGACACAACACAGTCCATAATTCTCCAAAATCTGAAACGAAGCATGCATTTGTGTTCACCTCTATTTATTTTTGTATCCCTAAATAAAACAAAAAAACTCCTCCCACTCAACCCATTGTAATAACTCTGGCAGAGCTGCATAAACCCACAGATCAGACGGACAAATTTGATAACAGAATAGATTCTTATACCTCCCCTCATAAAATCTGACTTTTAAAGGTATAGAGAATGATCTTTTATTTCCGGGTGGATCATCTAAATAAGTGGTCCTCCTAATTGTCAATCATTCTAGTAATATATTTATGTAAGTTCTATGTACTTGTCCCATTAGCAATATTTTTCTGTGCATGCGCACTTTCAGGCATATATTTGAAGTGAGCTACGGTTTCAGATAGTCCTTTAAGCTCTCCTTTCTCGCCCCGGTTCTTTGAAAATGGCCAAGGGTCGTAAGATAAAAAGTGTCTACGAAGTATATGAGAAGAAAATAAAGGCCTCAGAAGAGGTAGATATATCCCAGAATGCTTTGCGCAGAGAGCTCTCCTCGCAAAGCATTATGGGATTTGCTGTCACAGCAGCCCGCTGACAACGGTCAGTTAACTGAGTTCCCTATAAAGTTCACTATATAGTCCCCACTCCATATAGTGATTGAGGATTTAGGGGATAGGGGCGGATGTTCGGACACAGTAAGCTTGTAGGAGCTATGAGAACAGCAACTTTTAAACAGAGCATGCTCGAGGAGAAATAGCCTTGTGCATGCGCATTTTTTTTTAAAGTGGAGAGAGCGGAGAGTCTTTTACAAAATTCGCAAAAATCCTTCACAATACCTTTAAGGAAGAGGTACGAGAGGTACAAGAAAAAGTTAAAAATTTCAAGTAGTGTTGCACCGATACCATTACCAGCCTCGGACAGGGTCCCGATACTGCAGTAAAATGGTAGTATCGGCGAGTACCAACAAATAGGGCACCGATACCATTTTTAGAGCCAAAAGTTTATTTAACTATTGTCCCCTGTTCCAGGTAGGCAATACAAAGTTCTACTGGATTCACTTTGTATTAATCTTTTTCCTGCTTCACAAAGGTAGGCAGCAGCTTGACAAAGCCATGATGGCAATTATTTTACATCCAAGTAGTATGCAGTTCTTCATATATACACACACACATTAATTTCAAACTGATGGTATCGGTATGGTATCAATATCGGCCAGTTTGCACAGCCAGGTAGGAAAGATGAACGCAGCTAAAAGCAGGAAGGAAAACTTGCTTGAGGCAGCTTCTTGAACAGAGGCTTGCATGCAGCTCCGCATTCTTATCAGAGGAGATTTGGAACGCATTGCTTCTTTTACTTCTCTACTTCGTGCTGTGTCCCCAGTAACAATAACAAACTTAGGTTCATTTAGCAAGGTTCTGTTCAAAATTTCTGTCCGAGTCACTTCAACATGACATTCCTCTTTTCTAAATGTTAGAATTTTTTTATTAACTTGGTTTTCAGCTGAATTTGAACCCTCTTTTTTTCATCTGTTAATTTTTTATTTATTTATTTATTTTACATCCACACTTTACATTTGTTGGAAAGATTGAACCCCTGTTTTAATTTTTTTTTTTTTATTTTATCTCTCCATTCAGCGACCTCATCAACAAAAACTAACGTGGTTTTTAACAAATCAGTAGGAAGTGAAACGATCTAAAGTCGTCCCAGATTTTAAGAGATGCTGCAGATTTTAGTTTTTCTCAATCGTGCATTCATATCTATGAGATGTTGGTGAGGTCACCATTCAATATCCTTTTGCATGGGCTTGTCTCCCTTAAGTTAAACCTTTGAAATTGGCCAGATGTGGTCAGAGGCCTGGGAATCTTGGTTTAAAAAGACATTTGGATTAACAGCGTTTCTCTGTGTTTACCACAGAGGCGCCGGCGGGTAAGAAGGTTAGTAAGGCGGGCAGCAGCACAATCCAAAGGAGTGTGGAGACCGGGATGGCAGTGGAGTATCCACGAGGAGGATCAGCCATGAACCGCCAAGCCAGCAGGGAGTCCACTGATGGCAGCATGAACAGCTACAGCTCTGAGGGGAAGTACGTATACGTTTAGAAAAACATCAATAGTAAAGAATAGGTCTTCAGTTTTCACACCTAGAAGGTGAGAAATGAAGCACTTTTATTTCTCACAGTCTTCTATGTCTGGCAAAGTTCTATTTCACTGGACTTCTACACTCGCTGAAAAAGACTCAATTTTGATAGATTTTACTGTATAAGTGTAGATAAATGGAAGACTTCAGAAAATTATGTATTTTTCCCTTTTTTGTTCTTCCTCCTCATTGTTTCCTTCCTTCCCTGTGAGGTTTTGGTTACTTCCTTTCATTTCTTGTATTCTTCATTTTCTTTTCCCCTCAGCTCCTCATATGGTCTCACTCTCCTCCTTTCCTGTTATTCATTTCATCCCACCTTACTCCTTCCATGCATCTTTCTTTCCTATTATCCTACCTTGCTGTCTTCCTGGTGTTCTTCCTTCTTTGCTTGCTTGTTCCTTGTGTTTGTCACTGTGGTCTTGCAGTTTTATTGCTTAAGTTGATATTTAAGAAAAAAATCAACCATAGGTTGGTAGTGAAGAACTGTAATATTTTACATTCTAAAGTGAACATAAAGGATTGAGAACTCTGAGAGTTTAGAATCTGGTAAAGTTTGAAATGTTTCCATGAATAATGTGTATTATCCCTGTTCTTTAGTTCCAGATGTGTTGTAAACCACCCACAGCTATCTGAGGGTCTCTTTAGCAAACCCAAGACATTGAGGGTTAAAACATCAGTGATCCACTAATATTTGATTGAATGTCTGAAAGAGCCAACAGGCTCCAGGCATAATTCTGGCTTGATGTTTGACCACTCTTCTTGGCAGAATTGTAGAGGTTATTTAAATCCACAGGTTTTACTGACAGACATAAAACCCATAAGCAAGGCTGGTTGGATGAGCCTCCTTTATCTCCTGCCTTTGGAACAGCCTATTGTGTCCATCGTCTAGTCGTCGATTTAAGCTGAATTAAAGAATTTGGGGGTTGCCCTCTATTTAATTCAATATATGCAATTTATCAGTAGTACTGGAAGCTAAACAGCCCTACAGTATGATGCTACTCCAACCGTGCTTGACAGCATTATACAGTACCCTCTAGTTTGAAATCCTTTTTTTCATCTCAAAAACCTACAATGGAATTTTGATGAACTTAGTAACAATCATTCTGCTAACTCTTGGATGACTGAAAATCTTCACCAGCATGTCTGCTAATTCGTGGAGTTAGCAGGCTTGAAATCCCATATTTTTGTTTGTTTATTATTATAATTTAGACTTAGATGATTTTAGATATTCCATTTGAGTCGAAAACTTAATTATAATGTCATAATGTCTTGTTTGACAGGTGGTACTGTCGGATAATTTCTGTTTTGCATGTTTCAGTTTGATCTTCTCAGGGATGCGCTTGGGTGCTGACAGCCAGTTTAGCGACTTCCTGGACGGATTAGGCCCAGGTCAGCTGGTTGGCCGGCAAACACTAGCAACACCTGCAATGGGTGAGTTGTAGATCCTAGAGGGGGCAGTGGCAAGATACCTAATAATTGTGTATTTAAGTTTTAGTGGTGGTTGACGAGGCTTTAGAAAGATTGTAGAAAGTCTTATACTTTCTGAAAGCAGTTTTTGAATGTATCTGTTTGTCAAACCTCAATAGGTGATGTTCAGATTGGGTTGATGGATAAGAAAGGCCAGCTGGAGGTAGAGGTGATCCGAGCGCGAGGCCTTACCTCTAAACCAGGCTCCAAATCCCTCCCAGGTAACATGGACTCATTTGGATTGGATAAAATGGTGTAAAGAGGCATGTGCCTCCATTCCTGCTTTCTTACACTTTTTCATTGCTCACATTGAAGTGTTTCACAACCTCACATGCATTTTAATATTTGTCAAAAAAACATAAGGGCTTTATTGTTAGACTTCCTTGCCCCTGTATGAAAAAGTCTGTAGCCACTGTTCTTAATTAAGAAATCATTAAATACTATCCTCAAAAACTGAACATCATGCAGAAGCCCAAATAAAGTCGAGGACAAATAAGAAAGAACATAACTTATCTATAATGAAAGCTAAGTTTACACCTTCGAGCTTTCTCTCCCCCTTCTTTCCTTGAAAGAGACCACTGCAATCAAACATCTGTATATGCATATATATATATATATATATATATATATATATATATATATATATATATATATATATATATATATATATATATATATGGGCATAATGACAGGTTTAACGGAATTTAATCTTACTCAGACCAGGCCTGCTGGGCTCACTTCACCAGGAGGCGCCCCAAATAACAGTTAAAGGAAACTTCTTATAGATTTGTCACATTATACAATATCATCACATCACACATCTTTATATCATTTTGAGCCTCATACAAGAACTGTTTTTTTTTTTTGCACTTATTTGCTCGTAATAAATTGTTCGTACGAATGTGTCAATCACCAGTTTTCTCCTATTTCTAATCTCTCAGGCAAAGATTTTATGAGCATATCTGAAACTAAACCATTACAAGTACAATTTTCTTTTTCTTTACTTTCTGAAATTCAGTTTCTGCCCCAAAATTGTAATTTAAAAAATCTGTTATTAAAGTTCAGTCTAGGAATGTGAGATTGACCAGGATTTTAGTGATCTACAAATAGAGCACTTTGCAGCTGTAGTGCTGTTGAAATTTCTCCAATTTTTTTTTTTTTTTTTTTCATTTCTGCATTAAAATCTTTAGTTCCAATTGTGTAAAATAGGCACTTCCTGTTGTCTGCTGTCATGGTGACATGGTGGCTTCCATTGATAATGGCTTCCATTGCCATTCTTGTGGACCTACTCAGAGTTGATTAATCTAACTCATAGCAGCTGTTGTGATACAGAAAACTCAGACTCTCCAACCTTAGGCCACATCCATATTCAGAATTCAGGATTTTAGTCTAAGTTTGTTAAACCTGCCTTGTGAACAGGCCTGTGGTCTGGAGATGCCTCCACCAAAAAAACAAGCTGAGCAAAAAGACCAAAACCCACTACTGAGCAAAAAGGAGCACTGATAATTGAATATTATTTTATGGTTCTTAAAACTTTAAGAGACTACTCTGTGGACAGATGAGACAAAAGATGGACCTGGCAGGCTGGAAGGCTAATTTAAATTTGTTTGATGTTGTGAAACACTTAAATGCGACATACATGCAAAATAAATAAATAAATCAGGGAGGGGGCAAACACATTTTTCACTCCACTGTACCCTGACAATTCAGTCTACTGCAAACATGACATATGATTTTATGAAGGACTCTTCTGCTCATGTATTCCAACTATTTTTATCTTTGTTTTTTTTTTTTTTCCCATGCTGCTCAGCTCCTTATGTCAAGGTCTATCTGCTGGAGAACGGCACATGTAAAGCCAAAAAGAAAACCAAGATTGCACGAAAGACCCTGGAGCCGCTCTACCAGCAGCACTTGCTCTTTGAAGAAAGTCCTCAGGGCAAGGTGCTTCAGGTAATAAACATGTTTAGTTGAATATTTTTTTTCATCGTAAGTTGTCAGATGTATTTCAAAAACCTCAACACCAGAATACCCTTATCCTCAAGTTCCCTGATTTTTAACTCCATAAAAACATTTAAATTCAGCAAATTTGATTTATTTTGATCTAAAGCCAAAAATTCATTTTGAACTTTTAATTAAGAGGGGAATACTTTGCAAATATTATATATAATATTAATAAAGTAAAGTAGGTAATGGTTATTTCGTTGCTTCTTTGTTTCTTTTACAAATTTTTATCTGAAAAGTGTGGCTTGCATTTGCCATCCGTCTGATACTCCTATGTGAAATGTCATGCAGCTCATTAATTCCAGCTGTTCTTTGAAGACATTAGAGGTCAAATTGAGAACAAGAATAAGTAAACAGCTTCTTAGGCTACGTTCACACTGCAGGCCTTGATGCTCATTTCCGTTTTTTTTGCGAAATCCGATTTTTTTTTATGTTGCCGTTCATATTTCCAAATATATGCGACTTGTATGTGATCTCCTGTGTGAACTGCAGTCATACAATGCAAGTGTCCCACATGCGCAGTAGAGGACGCAATGATGTCACAGGCCAGTGTAGGGCTGGGTGATATAGAAAAAAAGCTTATCGATAAAAAAAAATGCATATTGATCGATATCGATAATTATTGAAAAGATTTGAAACCATATTTTATGTGCAGCTCTGCCTGGACTTTTTATAATATTGCTAAATGATTTAATTTTAATAAAAAACACAAACACAGACTTCGAATTAAATCTTTATTTAACCAACTTTTTTAACCATAACAGAATTGTTTTAAAGAAAAATAACTTAAGAGACCTGAGTTATGTTATTAAATACTGACAAAGAATAAACTAAAGTGACCAGAAAAGTGACCAAAATAAATATAACAAATAAATAAATGCCCCCCCACCGCCGCCGCCCCCATTCTTCTAAGCTGAACCTGGTTCAGCTTAGTTTCCTGCTTTAACCTGAGTTATTACTTTGAAGTTGCTGGCCCCTCAGCATTTTTATCTCAATTGTTAGAACTACGTGGGAAACTGCCCAGAACTGAAAATATATATATATTTTCCCGAAATTCCCGAAGATTCCTCGGAGGAGAGCCGCGCCGGGGATTTCACAGCTCATACTCCTGCGGGTGTGAGTGGCTGAGATGATAAAAAAAAAGGTTGGTTGTGTTATCAGACTTCGTTTTCACTGGTTCCCGACACATTTTACAGATGACTGTGGTTTGTTTTTGGTCCAACTTGCCATGACCGAAATACTGCCAAACTGGAGAACTACAAAAATCCTTCTTTGGAACAATTTCCTCCGCCTCTCCTTGCTGCGACATCTTCATGTGCTCTGTGTTGTGGTTTGAGAGGGCGGCGCTTTGTGACGGCGTGCCTGGGTCCGCGATTGCGATTGGTTGGGAGGAAGTAGTGACTAGCATAAACCTACATGCTAGGCTACAATGAGAAGGAAGGAAAACTGCGTTTCTTTTTTGTCGAACTTTTATCGACTCTCTTTTTTTCTATTGCGCCACACGTCTATCGATCGATATATATCGTTATTGAATTATCGCCCAGCCCTAGGCCAGTGTGCTTTCTTTTCCAGAAGTAAACATGGATGGTAGTAGCGGCGCGTATCTAGCGGTCTTTTCCCAACCATAAAAACTCAATCTTTTCAATATGGTTAAACATAAATACTGCTCTCCGCATCATCATCTGTTGTTTTTCTTGCCGCTTTTGCATAGCAAGATGCAGAATAGTGACCTTTGTCGGGTATTAATGACCTTCAGGTCGATGAATCCAACCTGACCGTTCACACACGGGTCGCATTTGAAAAGATCAGATTCGTATTGGATTCAGGACCACATAGCCAGGTGGCCTGGGTCGCATTGGAAAAAATCAGATCTGTGTTGTTCAGACAGCCATGAAAAGATCAGATCCAGGTCACATAAGCACAAAAAAATCGGATTTGGATCACTTTAGCCTGCAGTGTGAACGTAGCCATAAAGACCAAGGAACACAGCACTGTTCATACACTGTTTAGGAAAACAAAAGGGTATGGCACAAAAATAAACCTACTAAGACATGGCTGACCATCTGAACCAACTGGTTAAGGAGAGTATTAATCAGAGTAGTCAAAAGGCCAGAGCTGCAGTTAATTGGTTTAGATCAGGGGAGGTTAACCACTTAGAGCAGTCCACTCAAAGCTTGAATATCTCCATGTGATGTTGATTTATCAGCTTTACTCTTCCAACATCCTGGTTTCTCTGCTTTAGGCCTACAGTAGCCTAAATTATTATATCTATCTGATTTTATTTCTTATGTGTTCTGCTGTTTCATACTTTGCTCCTCTCTGTTTAGGTTATAGTGTGGGGCGACTACGGACGACTGGACCACAAATGTTTCATGGGTGTAGCACAGATCCTGCTGGAGGAGCTGGACCTCTCAAGCACGGTGATTGGCTGGTACAAACTGTTTCCACCGTCCTCATTGGTGGACCCCACGCTAGCTCCGCTCACGCGCCTGGCGTCTCAGACGTCGCTGGACTCAGGACCACCACCCGGCGTTCGGTCCTAGTGACCAAGTGGCAAACGCTCACCCCAAAACAGCCCTGACCTGATCAGATAATGGACCGCAGCTGCTGGACCACACCTGAGCAGAGGGTACAGACACAGCCCGAGGACGCCAGCGAGGAGACGCACTCTGGGAATCAATGAGAAACCAGATGGAGAGCCAGGAAATGAGAGAAAGAGGGGAAAAAATGAGAGAGGCAGAACTAGCCAATCAAAGCTTAGCTGGAGTCTGACAATCACGTTTCAAACCTTCCCTCTGCTTCCTCCTCCTTACATATTTTTGTTGTGCCTTCTTTGTTTTCTTCTCTGAGCTGCAGCTGTGGAGCTTTTTGTCCAACCTCCTTCACATCTCAGCATTTTTTCTTTGTTATTTTCGGTGAAGTCTCTGCAAGAGCGAACGATCAAACTGTTTCCCTGCAGCCAATCAGAGCAGGGCTTCTTCCAGTCTTAGACAAGTAAGACGCAAACGGTTAGAGCTTCTTGCAACTGTCAGCAGAGGGTGGCTGTTGTCTCTGATGATGTTAACTCAGGAATTCTATCAGTCCTGAGAATTAGGGGCAGCAGTTTGACACAGAATGATAATCTTTAGAGAAAGGCAGCACATTCATATCCATGATGTTAAAAATGAAAGGAAGCACAAGAAGAAAGGCTTGAATCATTTGTTCCGACAGAATAGCAGGAAGGTTTCTGTCTGAGAGAAGACGATGGCCAAATAAATCATCAGCTTTCATTTCCAACCATCCTTCATGTTTAGGTTTAACCTGTCGTTCAGATTGGAACCTCAAGGTGCAGACTCCCGCTGTATATTTGTACGTTTGATTTTCGAGCCGTGCCGATCGCAAATGTCACATTAGCTCGAACATGCCTTCACCCATCAAACCCAACCCTCCTCCCTCTTCAACCCTAAGCCCCCCGCTGGAGGGAGCAGCATGACTCGGGGACGCCTCTGCCCCGCCCCGCCCCCGCCCGGCTCGGCCCCAGGCTGCATGCACGTTTCTTTGCTTTCAGTTCGTTGCGTTTTTTGTTTTGTTTTGTTTTGTTTTCCCGTTTTTTCGTTCTTTACCTTTTTTGTAAAGTTGAAAGACGAGACTAAAACTACAATGAAGCAATTCTCAAAAAAACAAATGCAGAAAAAAAGACTAGACTATGTGTGTTAGTTCCACATACTTTTAGGCCAGCTTGTATGTTGCATGTTCTTGTACAGTTTGCTCGTACTGAATATGAATACAGAGAAAAGCCAAGCCATCCCCGCCTCTGACATGAGCGGACCAATAAGCGGCGAGGGGGGGAGGGGAGGGTTCAGCTGCACTCAGGCCACGCTTAACATTGCTGGGTCGAAATGTCTACACAAAACAGGAAAATCGTCTCTGTTGAGCTTTTTATTCCTCAAACCCAATGAATAACAGTGCTGTTCTGTAGTACTGAGCAATCTTGAGCCCCTGTAGGCGTCTAAACTGTAGTTTGAGGCAGTCGGGGCTAGAGGCAGAGATATAGAATGTGTGTATAACGGCTAAATGTATATGAAACCTCATTATGAGACAGAAATTTTAAAGATATAGCTATATAAATACAAAAAAAAGTGTATTTTATTGTACACGTCCTCAGCCCACACACACAAACACAGGTTGTACATACTGATCAGAACAAGCAGCTTCAAATGAGCATTAGAACAAGTCAAACACTGCTGACACACATCAAACATTCCCTGGTCTTGGGGGGAGGAATTTGCTTCTGGTGCTTGAGCCGCTGAGCGGCGTTGAGCCACAGAGGACTGGTTATAGGCCTTGTTTGGACCCAGTTGGAGAAAAAAAAAAAAAAAGAATAAGAAAAAAAGCTGATCAAATTAAATCATCCCCTTCCCTATTTTATGACCAAGTTTGGACTGGACTTCTGAAACCGATGATAAATCTAGTTTTGCAGACATATTTTGCAGATTTTTTTGTTCATCCTTGGCGGTGTGGCCGACTGCCCTTTCCTTTGTCAGTATTACTTCTGGAATACTGATTGTTTACAGCCCATGGTTCCCAAACCACGATTCTTGACGAAAGACAAAGTATTCACTGCAACAGTTCTTGTTTGTATAACAGATGTGGCTCTACTGATGTGTATGTTTTATATTCAAGAGTTCATTTTTATTATTTACAAATAAAAGACTATGTGGAAGAAGAGCCTGGCCTTTTTTAATTACTAGGATCTCAAGTCATTAGGAAGCAGCTGTTATAAAACACCAATTTAAATATTATAGGCTTGATATTCTAACATTCTCGTATATTTTTCTTGTTTTCTATTACTGTCTTCCAAAGACTAACACACTTCTGCCTCACCTATATTTGGAATCCTTTCTTTTCTTCCCTATTTTGAAAATTTGTTTAAAAATTAGGCAATGTGTTAAATGTATACCCTGGGAAAACAGATTAGCAATTAAAGGTTATTTAGGATTTTCACAAAGAAATCCTAATATCATTCTTCTGTAACTAAAACTAATTATTTTATTTCACCAGGCCACAAACAAACATATCCAATTCTGTTTAAAAGCATTATGTCTTATCTGTGCTAAATTCACACATCTATTTTCTTCTATTTAAGTTTGAATCATCTGCTGCTGCCACCTAGTGTTGTGAATAGATAGGACAGCCAGCAATCTCAGAAAACATTATAAGTAATGGATTTATATTTTCACAGATATTCTTTAAAATCTGTAAACGTTGTGAATTTGATTTTAATAGATTTGATTTAATTATAGAAAAGAAATTATTTCAGATTTGATACCTTGTCAAAGTGTCAACACATGTCATCCATCTATCATTTATTCACCGATCCATAGTCCCCCATCCATCTGTTAATATGTCCACCCTTTTTTATACCTACCAATGTAGGATATATTTGCAAGATTTATATTTAAAACCTATTCTTTACGATTTACTTAAATTTCCCAATATCTCCCAAAGTAAATCCATCTTAGCAACATGTGTCCAGCAGTTTTTTTTTTTTTTTTTTTAATTTCTAATACTATATTATATGCAAGGATTTGAACTTCAATGGATCAGAAAATCAAGAGCTTCCACTTTAAACTCCACTCCTTGCCCTTATTACTGCAAATAAAGATCCAAGGTATCAAAGACATTTGATCCTATGAGGCAGAGGCTGTTTGGACATCAGTCCAGCCTTTTCATATTAAGAATCAAAGCATTTGACTGAAGCAGACTGTTATCCTGGCCACTCCAAACATACCTGTGAACCTTTCCGGCCATCACTTGGAATTGGTAAGAGAAAGCATCCTCTCCAGAAAGAACAAGAACAGGATCACTGAAAAGGGGGCAGTCCTGCAGTGTCCAGCTTCTATTCCCAATGAGCGTGCAGTGAAAGTAAACACGCCTTCCTTTGGATGCAGATAGGTACAGATCTGATTGCATGCAACAAGCTTTCCACAGCACTCCATATGGTTCAACAGATCCCCCCAAAAGGATAAAAAAAACAGCTTGTTTGAGTCTGCTGAAATAAAAAGTGTAGCAACAGGAGTTTGACGGTGTGCTATTTTTTCTTTATCTGTTTTTTTGTCTTAGATTTTCTTAACTTATCACCAGCTTCTGAAGCAAATGGACAAAGACACTCTTTATTACATGTTCCCAGGACAGCTTCAACAGAAAGATCAGTTCTATGAACTGTAAGAACTAAAACCAGTTAGATCATGCAGTACATTTAGAATGGGCAATAATTAATTTCTCAGAACTTTCAAAAGCTTTTCCAAAACATTATATGAAGCAGCAACTCAAATTTAACAGGTAAGAATGATTGTACATACGTTGGTTTTCTCTTTAAATGTATTGATTGATTAAATGTATAGATTGGAAAAAAACAACACTTATCTGCAGAGGTGGATAGTAACTAGTTAACTAAGCAACATTTGAGGTTTTGTTGTTTATTTTTAGGAATCATTTTCCTGTAATGTACTTTGTATCAATACTTGACTAATATTCTTGTAAAGTATCACTACTCATAGATGTGTAAAGATTTCTGTGTACTCTGTACACCTGAGTTATTTAGAGACTTATTGTAGAGCAAACAGATTATATTAATAGTGGGAGTTTTTTTTTTATTTAACCAT